CCACGCCCAAAACTAAAAAAAAATTTAGTCTAAAAAATATGAAGTTTAAAAATTAGAAAATATCTTGACATGGATTTTTAGGAGATGATTTAGGACTAAACCGTGCATGGTACCTTTTTTTCTAAAAGGGTGCTTTTAAGTGATTAAAGATCTTTCTAAAAGCGTAACCAACTCCTTATCTTAAGAATCTCCGAACCGAGTGCTACTTTTAGGTTCCTAGTTCCCGAAATACTAGATGGCGACTTAAAAACTCGTAAGTAATTTTGTATATAATTAACGCCCAAACTCTTAATTTTTCTTTTGGAGAGTCCCATCCGACGTCATGTAGCGACATTCTGTTTGAATTGGAAAAGGGAAATCCAACAATCTATACCAATAATCGAGCCGGATTTGGTGCAAGTGATTTGTTTTTTTTATTAATTCTTATGAATTGAATAAAAAAAATTCTCGAATGAGATATTCAACTCGATAAATCGAAGAAAATCTTTACTGATTCTATTTTTTATTTTACATAAAGCAAATGAATTTTTTTATCGAAGGATCAGAATGGAAAAAAGAAAGAAAGAAAAAAGTAAAGATCTCTTGCGGAAATTATTTGAAAGATCCAAATATATATATATATATATATATATATATATATATATATATATATATATATATATATATATATATATACACAAACAGTCAATTAATATATTGCTATTATTTTATTTTATTAGCATCAATGTGTTTTTTTACAATTGTAAGTTAGTGGGATAACAGGAAGATTATCACAGTTGCAAATTTCTATCATCATTCCATCCGGGTCATGGGAAAACAGCTGATCAACCTCGATTCCATGTTCCTTCTTTACGTACCTTATCTCCAACTCTTCCAATTTTTCTCCACTATTGCCATGCTCTCACCCTGTAACCCAAAGAAACAAATATATGTATATGTATATATACAATCATTTATGTACTGTTTCAAATTTCTTACATGATCCTTTGGATCAATATAGTAAAATACTTTAATTTGTTAATTTTTTTTCTTTCAGTCTATGTTAGATAAAAATTTAACAAGAAAGCATAAAAAATGTAAAATTTAATTTTTTTATAACTTAATTTTTGAAAATTTGAATCAATAAAACTAATAAAAAAGTTGGTTAAAATTAATTTTTTGTTGAGTTTCGAGACTTATGGATCGAAACACAAGACAGAGGGAGTATTCACTATAAAAATTTCACAAAATAACGATGGATTTTTTTCGTTGTTATTTAGTAAAAATCTATCGTTATATTCAATTAACGTAGATTAAAGATAATATCCAATCCGTTGCTAAAATGATGGTCGATGTTCCATCTCTAATCCATCGTTAAATTATACGAGTTATTATTCTATCATTATTTAATTTTTATTAAATAATCGATGTTATTTAACAAATTTCTAATAGTGACTAAGCACTTCGAGACTCGTATGGATATATGTATGTTTATGCATAAATATTGTATGTATGAATTTATGCATGTATCGAGAGGTAGAGAGAGACTTGGAAAGTCCTTGGGATTAATCTTGGTAATCTTGGGCATGTTTTCAGGGTCTTCAGATTGCAATAGATGTATGCCAATGCCATAATAACTGAACAACCTGAGTAAGTCCACATCAAATCAGGAAAAGAAAATAATTCATCAGTTTCAAAATTAGCCAAAGTTAACCTAGCTAGAACGAAAAGAAAAAAAAAAATGTATATCTATTGTTTTTCTTGTTGTAAGTAAGAAGTATTATATTCTAAAATAAATGTACGTACCATGCACCATCGAAATTCAATGAGATAGGCCTCCTTATAGGAAAGAACCCAAGAACGTTTTCATAGAAATCAAGAGATTTCTCAAGTGATCTACACAGAATTGAGATGTGATTCACTGACTTCAGCTGCAAAGGATTTTTCTTGTTTTCTTCTATCATCCTTCTACTTCCCACACCTTTCTAAAACAACATATAGAATCAATAAAGGAAATAGACATGAAACAAGAAGAAAAGGGATGATGTTGGTGTTGCCTCTTTTATGTAGTCAAGGATTTTTTTTCCTTCTTTGACTGATTTTTTTTCTCTTAAGATTTTGAGAAATATATGTGTAATTTAGATCCTACAACCTTAATTTGTAGCTTAGAATAAGGTTGACACTAATAATTAACTTTTGTTTACGTGAATGAAGTACAGCAGTTTCAACTTCACTCATGATTGTAGACTCCAACAAAAGAAATGCAGGTCCTTTGTTGTGTTTTTGGCTACGATAACTTGGGAAATAAAGAAAGAAATTGTAGAGTTAAGGGGTGGCAAGATAACCCAACTTCTGTCTTCAATTCCAATAATAAATTGCTAACCCCTCAAATGAATTTGGGCTATCATCATCTCCACTTGACAAGTTTAATAATTTATAATTTTCTAATACGAATTGTTGTAACATTTTACCATGGAAAAAGAAAATTAATTAGGTGAAACAATGATTAATTAATAAAGAAGTTAAATTTCAATAAATGAACTAAAAGTTTTGTTTATGTATGATTTAATGAACTCATAAGTTACAAGTATTTTTCATCTATAAACAGCCATCCATGCAAAAAGATCATGGAGGTTTTTTTTTGTTTTTTTTTTCAAACAAGAGTATTTTTCTCGAAACAAGGTGCTTTTTTTAACTTATTTTCTAAAACAAATAGTTTTATCTTGTAACATAAGCATCAAAATATATAATGAAGAAATAAATAAAAAAATAATAATTAAGAAATAATGGAAAGAAACTTATTACAATTTAATAATCTAAATTTCTCTCTCACCCTTAACTGCAAAATATAATATAATCCATTGTAAGAGTTTCTTTTAGTCTAATAAATTCCGAACTTTGGCAACCAATCAATTTCTGCATTCTCGAACTCATTTTCACAAACGCCAAAATCACCTACTCACAAAAGTTAAATACATAAAAAAAAAAAAAAAAAAACGATAGATATTTCATGTGTTAATATTAAATTCTTTTTGTATTATATTTTAGACAGATCATCCGTATTTATTAAAAAAAAAAAAACCTTATTCTTAGAATTCAAATCTTTGATGATATATTAAGGTATTAGAATAAGAAATGTCCTCTTATTTAGTTATCAACATTTGTTGTCATGTCTTGAAGAGTCTTGGTGGTTTTTATTTAATTAAAAAGGAAGAATTCTAATTAATATTGGTTCTTATTTAATTAATTAAATTACTTGCCGTTTTGTCATTTAAAAAGTAAAATGGCAACATCATTCTTTTGCTTCCAATCTTGACATTATATGATTGATTGATCATTTCTTAAACTTGATAAGAAACGAATCAAGCAAGGAAACAAAAGAAAAAGACAATAAATAATCACACAACATAGCATTTACGTGATTTGATAAATTGTGTGTATTTCACAATTACATTAGGAGTTTTTATAAGAATTTTTCAATTATTGGCTATAAATACAAAAGATATTATCTTTATTTAAAGTATAGATAATTAGGATTATAAAAAACTTAATGGGCTTATATACTTGAGCCAAAACACCCGGTTCAATACACTCGTGGTTCAAAATACTATAGACATTTCGTATAGACTTTGTATAACGTATTAAAATAAGAATTATATCCACATCAGTTTTCACAACTTAACAAAAACTTTCATATCCTTATATTTTGTGCAACATGTTTTTAGATCTAATTAACCATTGGTAAACCGGCCTAAACTACTTCTCATTCTTTGCAAGCTATGACATTAATTATGAGCCCATAATCAAAATTTTGTAGTTATTCCACCAAAATGTTTAATTTGATCACATGATTAGATGGAATTCTGGAAGGAAAAAGATCATTCTAATATGAATTAATTTGAGCATATAATTAACCAAAAATTATACACTAATAATTTTCATAATGTTGCCTATATGTATAATATGGATACAAACCACCAAACACTCCCCACACGAGGAAGTAAGCCATAGATTAATCTTAGGTTTAGTGGCGACCAGTAGCTGCATGCTACCTCATAGACAATTCTTTTCTTTCGATAAACACTATTGTCCATCAAGTCTCCTCCAATCGATTCATATTTATGGAATTAGCCTCTGCTAAAACTCCATATAGGAGCAAGAAAAAACCATAAACTAGCTAGAAAAGATCCAAGAAGGTAAAAAAACCGGATAAACAAGATTTTTCAAAATAAAAAGCATCAGATCTAAAGACATAAGTCTCAATATGAAATTATTAAAAAAAAAAAAACTATGGACAAAAAAAAGAAAAGAAAAGGATGGTACAGCCGGCAATGGTAGCTAAGGAAAATCTCAAAGGACTCTCAAAACCCTAGAGAAAAGAGAAAGAGAGATTGATTTTTACGAAAAATTGTTCTCTTTTTCTTTTATTATTATTAATTCTCTCTTTTTGAGAAAATATGTTGTTGGTTTTTTGCCCTACTTGCTCAATTTATGCCCATTGTTGCTGTTATTTTCTAGATGTTGCAATTTGAATTAAGTGAGCAGCAAGGAAGAAAAAAATCTTGCATGCATGGACCAAATCCATCTGGGTCATGGAAAAACAATTGATCAATGTAGATTCCACCTTCCTCTATTCTATCCTTTATGTACTTTATCTCCATCTCCTTCCATTTTTTCTTCACTGTTGTCATGCTCTCACACTCCATCCAAAAGATCCTGTTAATTAAGCTTAATACGAGATTAATAAAGAAATAATAAAAATATGATAACAACAGAGAGACCACTTGGTAAGAAATGTGGTTGTCCTTGCGATTAATCTGGTAATCTTAGGCATGTTTTCAGGATCTTCATATTGTAGAAGATGTATGCCAATGCCATAACAACTGAACAACCTGAGTAATGTCACAAAAGCATTTTCCATAATTATTAGTTAGATAAACAAAAACAGCTTTAGATTCTGCCAAATTCTTGAAACAGGCACTACTCTTCAATTCCTTCAGACTTTGTTTGAATCCATCATGTCAAGCATTCAAATCAAATTGGTGCAATGCCACTTCCAACAGAGATATAAGGAAATTAAGCTCTGGAATATCGAAAGAATGGTCAGTGCCGGAAGACTTAAACTTCTCAGGAGCAGCTTCATTTTCAGAGGGGCAAAGCCAGCTTCCAATAACATCAGCAAGACAATCAAGCTCACGATCATTAAAACAAGTGTTACTGTAATATCCCTTAAACTTTTCATCCCCCTTAGCACCTCCAAAACTTTTCAACGAGCGCTTAACATAGCCAAGAGCTTCACAAATCTTGTCGTACAGGAACTTGAAAAAAGATACAACCTTGTCTTTCACCCATCCAAATGCATCCCTGACTTTCTGAAAAGCTGAAGCTATTATGTTGCCCATGATGGACCTAGTATCGTAAGTCTTGAATTTTGGAAGATATGCATGAAATAATTCAGAAATGGAAGATTTATATAAGGACTAATGTATTAAAGGAGTCTCGAAATGTGAAAAGGTGGCCTCGATTAGTGTCTGGACTAAATTCATCTTCTGATAAGCATGCAGTAGATAATCTATTAAAGGACTCAAGGAGTTTTGAAATCTGAAAGGTTCCCTTGAATGGGGGCCTCACGCATTAACTACTACAATTACTACAATATACTTGATTAGTTTTCACGTCAATCGAAATTAAATCTCTAATTCTTGAGCTAGGCCTTGGATTGATTCTAGAGTTTGGAGTCTTTAAATCCACCGGCAGTAAATATCTAGTGTCATACAAAAGAAAGAGAAGATTTCTTCAAGAGTGAGAATTGAACTTATGACATAGTGAGTGAAATCACTCTTCTTATCGCTTCACCTACAACATTTAGTGGTTTCATTAACTACAGTTATAGATAAGGTTTCTGGCATATTATAGCCTAGAGAAACTCATAAAACTCAAAAAAAACCTTTAGAAGAACGGAAATTTACATTATTTATTGCTGTGGATTTCAAGGGGTAAGGTTGAATTCGATCGAAAAGAAATTTATGTCTCAGAGGGCTAGTTTGTGACGTTGTTTTTGATGTTGTGAAGTGCAGTAAATAAAGATAAAGGAAGCACTTTTCAGGTGTTGGTTTCCAATGCATTAAGAGGCAGATTTTGACAGGTGAATCCCTCCTGCCTGCTTGGCTGCTGATGGATTTTTGTTTGCTTTTCACATTTCGAGAAAAAAAAATCTAGTACTCGCTTCACCTACAATATTTTCAACCGAGTGACCATAACCAAAGATAACATTGGTCATGCAGGTCTTGAATATGGGTTATAACCTAACTAGAATCATCGACAGTCCTCGGAGACCCAAGAAATCTTAAAAACACAACATTCTTTAAGGAAAATTAAACAACAGAAAGAAAATGGTTGCTAGCTTTCATCCTCCATGGGAGGAAATTCTTGAAAGAGCAGCCATATATAATCCAAACCCATCAATGGTTTCTTATGAATTTCCATATAAGCAACACAATATTAAACACGAGGGCAAACTCGCTCTGTAATGGAATTAGTGAAATGATGAGCAGCTCAAAAATCATAAACAGAAGCCCTTCATTTTCTAAAAGGAAATCAAGGTTCAACTGTTCAGCCATCTTCCTCGCTGCTTGTTTGGAAGTTCCTGAAAATCCCTTGACATTGTTATAGACCTCTTTCACTACTTCACCAAGACGATCAATCAGACAATGCATTGCATTTTTCACTTCTGTGATAGTTTTCAGCATCCCTTCTGTCACTGAAGTGCAGAAGCTTTTTGCAAGTTTAATTGTACTCTTCATTGTTTCGCCGATCATTTTCTTCAATTCACCAATCACTTCCTTGCATTCTTGAGCAATGTTGTCGAAAAAACGTCTAATATTGTTAACTAACTCATCAAACTTGGAAGAAAGAAACTTGAAAAATGGTTCCAGCTGAGACTTGAACCATACAAAAGTTTCACTACACTTTTCCAAACATAAAGCTAATATGTTCCCCATGGAGTAGAACCTAAGCTGGATTGCCCTCCAAACCAAACTACTGACTTACAGAAAACAGAGGAAATCCCAACATGAAATTTTGGCTTTTAGTAAGCATGGATGAACTGAACCTGTATGAAACATTTATACAGAAATTATCGGTGAAAGCTTTTTTGAAATCTGAAAAGCTGGCCTCAATTAGTAGTAGTAACAAGATACAAAGTCCCAACCCTTCGGATTATATCTAAACTTTTAGATTAGACAACTTAAATAATAATTAGTCTAGAGAAACTCAAAAGCCAAAGATGCAAATGCTCTTTATACATATTCCCAAAGAGGATTTTTAGGGCATTACACCTTGACAACTGATCTAAGGCATGATAGAATGGACTCCATCCTTGTATCCCAACTCGTGATAGAATGGGTTAGGGGTGACATCTTCTCCTACTGATCAGTGTACCAAAACCGAAGATATGTTTCTTTTTAGAAACTTTCATCTATGAGGCATAAGTGGTTGTGGAGAACATAAATTTCCACCTAAAAAGAAATGGGAGGAAACAAAAAAGCATATGGCATACAAAGATGGTTGGTTTGTTTATTTTTTCAGTACTCGGGATATCAATATAAAATTTGTGTTGGCACAGGACTGAAGATGAGATTAATTAGTACCACAGTTCATAGACAACCCTCAAATGCTAAAATAATCAGGACACTTAATCAAAGCTCTTCGTGTAATCTAATCATCCCCATGTCTCAAATAAATCCCATCTCATAGGATCAGAACCTGATTGAAGGGCATCATGCACAATATAAGTTTAAGCTGAGGATGAGGCATAATTTATTTCGAAAGGAAACTGCAATTTTGTTTTAACATTATCAGAGAAACCAAAAAAGTTTCCACCATTGTATAATGTCTTTAGAATTAAATGGCAGGTCATGCTTCCCAGTAACTAAAAGACATGCATCCGAGACACTCACGGGTTAGTAACCAGAGACGATTGGAGCTACATTCTTTCATGAACAAGATAATCTCTCCAGAACTGGAAAACTATATTCCTCGGATAACAATATGAATAACTCCAACGAAATTTTGTACCACAATATAATCTACAAGACTGCAAACAATGCGTGGTATGGCCACCAATTATCTTTTGATGGATGACTTGAAATTTTACCTATATATCTGAATCCTAGATATGCAGTACATTGATTTCCAATCTCCACGAAGAGCCTATTCAGCTGGTGAATATTGGATTTGATCTCCAAAGTTACATCAGGTACACAACCTGTTTATGCAAGAACAAGGCAGATAGGTCAAAAGACTAGTGGTAGAACTTGCCGACATAAATGAAGCTTACATGATATCGATATGCTGTGTGAAATAAGGTAGGATACACAAATGTGTAAGATAAAAAATGAGTGCATAGCAAAGAGAGATCAGAAGACCAAAATCTATCTACGGGAGTCTCCTGATTTCTCTAGAAAAGCTGACCTACTAAACAAAGTTTTGCTTTGAGTCACCACCCATGATTTCTCTACTCCCTTGACTACCGTTTGTGTTTTCCATACAAACAAACAGCATCACTGGAACTACAGTGAATGACCATGAAAACCGACCCAGAGCTTGAATGGTTCTCTTAAAGATTAAAGCATCATTTATTGTGTCAATAGAAATCTGCTACATAGAATCACCAGTAAATAAATGGAGAATAGAAGGACCACCAGCAAATTGTTATTGTAAAATGGTGAGATCCTCCATAACTCATGAATCGGATGGAAGCCCACCAATCAATCATTCTAGTTGTCCTCTCAGTCTTAAGAAGTCAATCATTCAAGCAACACCCTTAATAGAACTTCCAATTGCAGTTCTATGTAAATAAAGTCATATCAAGCCAATTAATCAATAAAATTTTTGCAGCCATAAAACATATCTTCCTGGGTATGAAAAATCTCAATAAAAACACAGAGTGCAATCAAGAAGCAAACAATCTGCCATTAGTGTATGCATGTTACTTAAAAGTAGATACTTCAGTAGTGAAGTTTCTTTGAATGCCATATGTATTAAACAAATTTTTTTAAAAAAAAGATAAAACTCTTCTTTTAATCTGACCTAAAAAAGGCGTACCTCAGTTTCTTCAATTTAGTCCCCACGTTCTTCTATACCAGTCACACTGGCCGACTCCTTCTCTCTCCAAATTGCATGTACTTCATCAGTTCGGAACCTCTGGGTGAAAGTTGATTCCTCTAGTGGAGTTGTTTCACCGTGAGCAAAAGCAAGGAGACCAGTATATGCAATCATTGCTCCGTTATCAATGCAATACCTATCATCAGTTGCATATAGCATTCCACCCCGCTCAGCGCACATTGTTCTCATCATCTCTTGTAGGCGCTCATTGCAACCCACACCACCAACAATAAGAACATCTTTCTTATCACAATGTGCCATTGCCCGTTCTGTGATCTCCACAAGCATAGCAAACACTGTTTCCTACATTATATTGCAAGATAATGCAGCCAATACATTAGGAGAAGATATATGCACTCAGGCAGTATTTTTTAAAAATATGTTAAAGAAACAAGAAGAAGAATGATTTAGATTTTTCCACTCGAAGACTTACTGACAGCTAATGTAGTTTACCTGGAGGGAATAGCACAAGTCTGCAGGAGTGCACTCATTATTTTTAAGCTTCTCCTCTGTAGTGGCTTCGATAAAGCTCAATATGCCACTAAAAGAAACATCCATCCCTTTGACAACATAAGGAAGGTCTATAAATTGCTCTCCTTTCTTAGCAAGCTGGTTATGACAACATTTTGGAAGTGAATATTGAAGCACTTTGCAACATAATTCAAGTATTGGGCATGAAAAGTAGCTCAGTATTATTAAGAACCTTAGGTCCACACAGGTAACAAAATGCATGCTATAGAACCCTAGTACAGAGCTACCAAACTAGAGAAAAATCTTCACTAAGAAGCGAGAAGAACAGGGGAAGAAGGAAGAATAATAAGCTGATAAAAGAGCAATATGACAACCAAACTTGAATTCAAGAAACTTAACTAAAACAAAGATGAGCCACCTAAACAATATGAAAAATGACAAAGCCTCAAACAGAAAACTCATAGAACCCACTGATATCAAAATACCTGCTCAATGTTATATCCAGGAGCTGGATCATTGGACAGCTGCAAAACTCTAGCAAACCGATCCAAACAATTCCCAACAGCAATATCAATAGTCTCACCAAAAATCCGGTACCTTCCTTCGCTATAAGCAATAACCTGAGTATTCCCGCCACTAACATACAAAACAACAGGATCATCTGCCCCAGTAACAATCCTACCCATCTCGATATGAGCAACACAATGATTAACCGCAACAATTGGTTTCTTCCACAAATGTGAAAGAACTCTAATAACAACTGCAGACACTTGTAAAGGTGCTCCCATGCCAGGGCCTTTGGTGTAACAAAGACAGTCAATTTCATCTGGGGTTATTTTTGCAGTCTCCAAAGCAGATTTAATTAGTGGTAAAACATGTTGCAAATGATGTTGGGCAGTTTCTCTCGGCAAAAAACCTTGACCAGGTGGGGTTATATAAGTATGCCTTGGGTTTGATAAAATTGTACCATCTAGTGTAACAACCCCCACTCCTATCTTGTTTGCAGAACCTTCAAATCCTAGCGCTATCATTCTCTTCATTTTTGAACAAAATATCAAAAGGGACCTGTGAATTTAACAAAAAGATAAAAACTTTATGCTTTGTATTGCCTCAACAAACAATTAATATGAAGGGTTGTGTGCATACACAATAGAGAATTTGTGTGTGAGAGAAAGAAAGTGAATAATTGTTAAAAGGGGTTACAAAGTTTGGAGCTTTACCTGTGGCGGCTGAGCCTGAGAGCTGGAAGATGAGTATAACGGTCAGTAACTGCAACGAAGACAGACAATAGGGTTTCTTTATTTTCTCTTTGCGTTTTTCTTCAATGCATTACTACACTTTAGCCCCTATAGTTTAGAAAAATTCCACTTCAATCCTTGTAGTTTAAAATTTCGCAATATTGTAATTTTCAAATCCTTCCAATATGGCCTTATTTATATTTTTAAGGTTTTTAAAAGTTGGGAAGAAAAAGATTAAAAAAAAAAAGAAAAAAAAGTGTACATTGCTTTCGATTCCGTTGGCTATTTAATGAAATCTATAAAAATACTATATTTTTTTTTATTGGACTACAAATCTGCAAGAGATATTCACAGGAAAAGTGAAGTGAAGGATATTCAATTACAAAGACCAAATTATAGGGTTTTAGGTTTATTTTTATGCTTTGATTTGGACAGGAGGGTGTGAAGTATTTGACTTGGACAAGAGGATAAAGTCTTGACCACCATCAAAAAGAGAGGAAAAGAAAAAAACTCCCAGCTAACCAAATATGGCTATTTCTGCTATGAAAGATCAAAACAAAGGGGGAAAGTATCAAAAGGGGGGAAAAATTGTAGTAATCTAACTTTCAAGCTTTATGAATCCTAAATATGGTTATAATTTTTTTCCAAGAAAAAAAAAGTGCAATGGATTTAAGTGGAAATCTTAGTCACCCAAAAGCCAAAATAATAGATTTAATGACTATAATAATCAACAATAGTAAACAACAAAACAGAAAAATCATTCATGTGCTATATACAGAAAAATGGGGTTCCCCATAAAATGCATACAGGATTTATTTCAGATTACTATTGCAATGCCAATACCTTTTATAAACTATTTTGGCAAATCCTCAACAAACATGGGCCTAAAGAAACTGTACAAGAACTCTCTATTTCTCCTACCCACCATGTGCTCCAAAAAGAGGAGCATGATTATACCAGGCATCCAAATGAATGCAAACTGAGCCAAACATTTTCACAAGGGCTAACTAACTAGACACCTAAAACTAAACACTAGAACAAGGTCAGCATCTGATATCTAAGCCATGAAGAAGAGTATGCTTTACATCCAGTAGCATTCTGTAGACCAGTTCTGGAATTTGTAATCTGGAAAAAATAATGCTGGAACTATGTCTGACTCTGCTGCTCTTTGTTTTCCATGTCCCTCACACTATCTACTATATGCTGGATCTTCTTCGATAGACTCTCGTTATGTTCCTCGATCTGCTCAAATATCAATTCCAGGTGCCTTTTATAGGTCGCGGCTCTCTTTTTCTCTATGGCCAGCTGCTGTGATAGTTCCCTGATCTTATCATGTTCATTCTGGAAAAGGAAAAAAGAAAGAGAAAAACATTAAAATGCATGTTGTAATGCAGCAATAACCAAAAAATAAATCAGAGGAAGACTTGCCTATGCATCATAGAGATTTTTCAGCCTTTGGTGTGTACAAGCACAGCTTATTAGGATGAGAGTATTGTATCTGAAGTTTAACAGCATCTCAAAAAGAATGCATGCCTCTTAGTTGCCTAATTTTTTGGGCCAATAGAAAGCAAAAATATAGGTGTATAAGTTCTTGAGTTCCTAACTGATATTAATTAAATCCTTACAGACCTCATTCCCAAATTTTGGGACCCAGTGACTTGGTCAATGTGACTCTGAATTTAATACTTTACGATGTCAAAACTCAAACAGTGCAAACTAATATTAATTTAATGATAAGAGAGCAAGAACTAACCGGATATTGATCATAAATGCAATCCCTTCGGCCTTTGCCGGGTGTCAACGCATGAGTATGCTCCTTCACAAACTTGGTAACAACCCATTTCCCAGAACTTACTTTTCTCACCAAAATCATTGCCCTGCAACCGACCCTTGTTTCTGCCCTTTGCCTTACAATCTTTTCACGCTTGTCAGGCATTCTGAAGCCCTCTTTATTGCAAACAAGGGCCCGACCAATAGCAGATCCATCACGTCTTGATCGAGAAAGTTTGCTTACCCGAATGACAAATCCTATGCGTGTGGCATAAGCATTGTAAAATGCATGCGCAGCTGATTCAGAATCAAACTCCTGTCCCAAGTACGGCTCATCATCAGCAACCATTGATATAGCTGGAACTGCATCTGGAATCATATCTATACCCAAGGACTCTTTATCCATTTTATGATCTTCATACTGTTCAAATTCTCCAACAGAAGTTTCAATGATTTCATTTTCATCTCCAGCCCTAGCAATGTTCACAGCCGCATTTCCTGCTATATCACCATTAGCATCACTATCAACAATGTAGTCCACTGCAAAAACAACACGACATCTTATCAACTAACACATGGGATTAACAGCCATATCTTTGAAGGCAGAAGAAAAGGTTGAAATGGGACCAGTCTTTTAGCCATAATGCTGCTAAAGAACTGAATACTCAATGAGGCTAATTAATTGACAACAAACTTCATCTGGATTTCTGTTAACTAAATCTTAAGAACTAGCATTTCTCTCCAACCAGGTAAACAAAAGGATTGCTCAAATGGCATAAAACAACAAACAACAATCTGTTGTTGTAACAAAACCCACATGGGCTTTGGCTAATAAGTGTTAGCCTTAGTCGTACCAATTGAGTCATGCATACATGCTGCAGAACCTTTTGCAGTTGTAATGCATGCATAAATGCATTACCTGGAGCATATGTAATAGCCCAAGTCTTACCATATCATTAACCACAATCTTGTTCTTACTTGCCTGTGTCACTCACAAATATGTATCATTCATTCTATTTGCTAGAGGGACTCCAACAATATGTTTATAGATTATGTTGGAGATGTGGTAAAACAAAGGATATTGAAACTAATGAAACTAATTCATTTCAATGATATTAGGTGGAGCTAAGGCGGTCTCAAAAGGCATTCTGCATATACAACGACCACATCATTTTGTAGTTCCTAATTTCGCAAGCCATTTATAGTCAACAGAATCATTACTAAATAAGCAAACAGCAGTTTTAGGAAACAAGAGCTAAGCAAAGTTATGCACTACAAAGAACTACAAACTAAAATGAAAGCTAAGTTTGTTCAGTCTTGGAAAAAACAATGTATTACAATTTATGACGAAATTCCAATAAAATTTAACATAAACAAGCAAATTCCAATTAACTGACTAAGAATAAGCTAAAAAAATATAAAAGAAGCGACCAAAATCGATTCATTGTAAGACTAGTTCATAAAAGCGTTGACTCTTTACATCCAGCGAATCATTTAGCTCTATTTGTGAAGAAAAACACATCTACACTACGTACCGCAATTATGCATGCATTAAAATCGCAAAGCATCCATAATAGAGCATGCATGTACTATTCATCTTCGATCATCACAACTAAGGTCAACACTTTGCATAATTCAATTAGTGAAAATATTTAGTACAACTAAAGATTTCGATTTCAAACCTATTACACCACTCACTAGACTCTAACCAAATATAGAGTTAGTTGGCACCCAAATTTGTCAATTAGTTATTCTTCGACCTTTATGAACAAAGCTTAAAATTAGATTATTCTCTAGAAATTGATGTATCTTTGTTCTCATCTTAGTATCCTCCACAAAACTTTTGATAAACATGCACATTGTTTCCTTACAAGGTAAAGCATAACTAGACAATCAAGTTCAGAAACCAACAATCGGAAAAACTGAAATTCAAACTTCCCACGGAAAACAAGAAAGGTAACACTAAAATCCAATCATTCAAAACTACTCTCTGACTTCTGCCAACTGACGAACTTTACTCATTACACAAACAGCTTTTCTCCTTTTTCCACACAATTTCTCAGCAACCAAACAGACCCCATAATCAAACACATTAAAGTCCTAAACCCACAATTCTAATAGCCATCGATATCAAAAAGAAAAAACAAATTGCCCACAACTAAAAACACCCGTTGTTGATGAAAAATCTAAACTTTCGTTCAAACTTTATCACTTTCATTGATTTCACACAACCCAAACAGGCCTTTATCTCCATAATCTACACTCAGATCCCATTATAAACCAATCCTTTAGTTATTTTATTCATAACCCATTCAAAAAATTAAAAATTAAAAAAAAAACCCAAATTAAAATAATAATAAACTAATCAAAGATTAAAACTTTAACAATAATTTTTACTCACTTGAAAAAAAATTGCAGCGATAGATTTAGGGCTAAACTTCCTGGAAGCCACACAGAAGAGAGAGAGACAGACAGATGTGCGAGTTCAGGCTAATAAGAATGGGGACGCCAGGTCAGTATGACGTGGCTAAATATTATTGGATTTGATAGAACGTGAAAGTCAAAGTTTCCTATTTGTAATGAGTAGTTGTTCAACACGTGGCAAGTTGAGTGTGCTTCCACACGTAAGATCGCCGCTTATCTTTAAATCTCTCCTCTTAGTCTATCAACTCTTGAACATATTTCAAATCAGTACCAAACTAAGAGTTTTTGTAATTTCACCACCAAATTGTAACTCATTTTATAATTTTGTGTTACATATTTTTTTCAATAAATTTAAAAACGAGGATTTTATTCATATTAAATATTTAAGTCATTAATATTTTTATGGTAAATTTAAAATATTAGTGATCATTATTTATAAGTAATTTTTTTAAAATGAATAAAATTTGAGTTTATTTTAATTATGATATTGATATTTTTTGTCAAAAATCAATAATGGGTTATTCTGTTTTAAATAAAATCTAAAATCATTTAAATAGAAAATCACAAAATGAATTTGAAAAATAGTTTTGAAATTCAATTCCGTGTCCAAAAAAAAATCAGTTTGGTATCTAAAATTGGTAAACTTTGAATCATTTTTATTATGACATTAGCATTTTTGTCAAAAGTAAATAATTTCATTTAAATAGAAAATATTAAAATAAATTTAAAACATAGTTGTCAAATCCGATTTAGTGCCGGAAGACTTTGGAACGGTGGGACACTTGTTCAGCCGCGATTGGTTAAATTAATGGATCCCAAAATAGATGAAAATAATAATTAAAATAAATTTCGAAATTTATTATCGATTAATTTAAAAAAATATATATATCTGGCTTGTTATATAATTTCTAGCACATGTCTAAAGCCCAAGTAGGAAAAATGGATTTTTGGTTGGGCCTGGATTGGATCCCGCCCAACTGAGTCAACTCACTGAGCAATGGAGGTTCTCCCTCTGAGCTGAAATAGGGAAAAGAAGAGAGTGCTGTCAGCCTCTCTTTTTCTACCAAATTCAGACTCCGTTTTCTTGAATTCTTTCAAAAATGAAAATTTTAGTGTCTTTTTAGTATACATTAAGTTCACTTGATAAATATCATGGCAAAAGCTTTATTCTTTCATAGCTTAAAAAGAGCAGCTTCTTCTCTTCTCAAGCCACCATATTCATCTCTCAGGTACTCTCTCTCTCTCTCTCTCTCTCTCTCTCTCTCTCTATACATATACATATATATATATATATATATATATATTTGGATATGAATAAAGATTTGAACTTTATGTGTTTTTGGATGTCAAAAAGTAATGGGTTTTATGTATTTGTTTATTCGGATATGATAAATGCTTGCTTAGGCCAATCTTACAAGTCCAAGAATCACTTTTGATTCAATCAAGAATGAGAATTTCACAAAACTTGATAAACCCTTCATGGGAATTTAGAAATGTGAGTCATGGAAGAGTAAACTTAGTGATATCACAAGGAAAACCCAAGTTTGAAACACATGAGGCTGACCCTCCAAAGAAGGAGAAGTGGATGACGAAGAAAAGATTGAAATCGCAGAGAAAGAGAGAGAAGGAGAAGAGAAAAGCTGCTAATAGGAAGGACCCGCGTTCGCTTACTGTTAAGAGGAAGAGGAGGCAGAAATTTGCCAACGTAGAAGAGAGAATTAATACTAAACTTGAGAAGGTGAGCATGATTTTATTTAGTTTATTGTGATTAATTATTGAATTTGATATATATATATATATGTTAAGTTGATTGCATGTTATTAGCTTATGATAAAAGACAAAATATAATCAATGTGATTTCAACCATTCATTAATTGAGTGGAAACAACTAGCTTTGGATGATCGAACAACAGCATGATCTTTGGGGGGAAAAAAATTAATCAATGTGCCTTCTAAGAGGAAGAGGAAGCTGAAATTTGCAAATGCAGAAGTGGGAATTTATCCCAAGCTTGAGGGACTTAGTGAGCTGTTTTTTCTAGCCCTGGTTTTGTTAGATTTTATAATTGCTGTGGTGTTTTTCTTGGCTATCAGTTTGTGTTGTTATTGAATGTAAGATATAGTAGTCGAGTGCACATAAATAGCTTAGGATAAAAAACCTGATCCTGTGTTTGTGAAATTTAATCAATGTGATTTCGATCCCATTTCTAATTGTTATTATGAGCAGAGTAATTCCGTGTCCATAATTTTCTGCTTGTGTCTAGTGCACATAGCTAGCAAAGGTTAAAAGAACCATGCATCTTGCGAAAAAACTGAACAAACCAATGTTTTCATTTCTAGTATGTGTAATGGAAAAAACTTGAGGAGCTAATGTGAGGATCTCTACGTTGCCCCCCCCTATATTATGTCTGTTTGTGATTATAACAGAGAAGAAAACTATTTTAGGATGGAAATGTTTTTGTCATGAGGCTACTAAATCCAATTAATGTCTTCCAAGTTACATTGTTAGAGGTGATCAATTTGTCATTGCTTTTTCCCACAATCACAGGCCAGAATCAAGGAAGCCAAGCTGATTGAAAGACTCAAGCGATATGAAGTTCCTAAGATGCAAGGTCCTGAGGTCAAACCACATGAACTGACTGGCGAGGAGCGTTTTTTCATGAAAAAGATGGCACAGAAGAAGTCTAATTATGTGCCAATAGGCAGAAGAGGAGTATTTGGAGGTGTCATTCTGAATATGCATATGCATTGGAAGAAACACGAAACTGTAAAGGTCATTTGCAATTCTTCTTTCAAACCTGGCCAAGTAAACGAGTTTGCTAAAGAAATTGCCAGATTGAGTGGTGGGATCCCTATACAGATAATCGGAGATGACACCGTCATATTTTATAGAGGAAAGAACTATGTGCAGCCAAAAGTTATGTCGCCTGTGGATACGCTGTCCAAAAAGAAGGTTTGTACCACAGCTGCCAACATTATCAACTACCTACAGTTTCCTCTTACCAGTTGTTTATGGTTTTATGCAGTCCATTTTTAAATTGACAACGTAATAGTAAGGTTTCACTGTGATTTGTTTTAAACCTTGAAATGTCCTCACGCTAGTATAGAGTTTCGTATTATGTACTTGGCATCAACTTATCATCCTTGTATGTATCATATACTACTATTTAAGAGAGCTCGCAACCCCTAGGATGAGATCAAGAACCAGTCAACTGATTTCTGGCTGTACTCTTGCTCGCCAATTTTGGTTCAGGTGATGCTAATTCACTATCAAGTCATCATAAAACCAGGTTTGAGAAAACAAGAGATGCTTGTCTAACCTGTAAGAGTCTTTGGACTTGGAACTTTTTGTTGTCCTTAAAAATCTTCTGCATAATTTGATTGTAGAACTATTATATTAATTTTCAGCTTGCCTCTTATATATCCTTTTTAGTTTCACTTTTAGTCATTTTGCTCATATTCTTACACCGGAAGAAAAAAGAATGGGGGCATGTGATGATACTTTATTCACTTTCGTTTTCATAGAGCCAGTAGCCCCTTTTCTCCTTTTGGAAAGGGCAACGAGATACATCTGTTATATTCTCTTCTTACCATTGCTGTTGCTTTTGTATATGATTATGACATTGACATTGATGTGTCTGATATGCATCCTTGTAGCCCTATTCAAAAGTCGTGAGCAGCTAAGGTGATAAACTATTCCTTGCCTTTGCAGGCACTAGAGAAATCAAAATACGAGCAATCGCTTGAGACTGTGAGGCACTTCATTGCTATCGCTGAAAAAGAATTGGAGCTCTACAACAGGCACAATGCACTTTATGGTGATTCAAACAATAGGAATCCAATGTTGATCTTGGACGGTCCAACACAAAAGGACTCTGAGGAATCTAGGAAACCTACAAAGCAAAAAAGTGATTTGTCTTACAATAGTTTTCCTCCAAGTCTTTCAGAAATAAAAGCCGATGCCACTTACGAAGAATTGTCTGAAGCTGTAAATGATTCCGAAGCTGAAGACTTGTCCCTAAGCGAACCAGATTCTGAAAATGATCACCTATCTGATTTGGATGGCGAAGAAAGCAATGATAGCTCATCCATGACGAAAATGAGCTCCTCAGCAATTTTAGGTTCGTCATCGATATTGTAGAATGATACTGATAAACAAGGTTGTGTAAGAGAAATGAACTATTAATTAGTATAAAAATCAAATTTAGATTTCAAATCTGCCTCTCTTCACTTCCATTTGCATATATAAATGGTTGCTTTGGTATCCTAAGTTCTGTTGCTTGTTAGCTTCTGGAGAACATGCAGGAAGTTGGTGGCGAGAAGGTGGTAATTTTTTTACTGGTTAGAACTAATCCTATCAATATATATATATATATATAGTTTATTTAATGAAAATTTAAATCAAGCCAAATAAGGAATAAATGAATAAAGTTTTCAAATTGATCCGATTTCGATCAGACCAAATTGAATGCAAGACAAATGATGGAAGTAAACTAATCGGATGTAAGTACACAAAAAAATCCGACCCAAATCGGTCCCTTGTCATTCCCAATATTGGGGAATCTGTGTTGACTAGAGAGCCTCCCAAAGACAGCCACAGGTCAGTGCACCGTTTTGTCGTCTGGCAAAAAGGAAGCTATGGTTGGGTTTTTCAGAAACCGTAGATTCTCTTTCAAGGTTACGTGAGTTTCCCAAACTGGCACGTGAACTTTATCTTGGATGAACTTTGTGATGATATGGTAGGATTTCTTTCGGTGAAATGAAAAGATATTTTTTGTTTTTCTTTTGTTTCTCAAGTTCTTTTCATTATTATTTCCGAAGGCCATCTATATTCAAACTAAAACGATTATTTACTTCTCGTAATTAACTTTTGGGTTAGTAACTTAATCTAATTTTTTATATTAAAATATTTTTTAATTTTTTTTATGTCATTAATTAAATCAATATGCGATTAAGTTTTCAATATATTATTTTATCCAAAATTTTAAGTTAAATTATCAAAATTATTTACATCATTTGCATATAACTAAATTTTATTTAAAAAAAATTGTTGTAAGTCAAGCAAACAAAAAAAAATCAGTGTAAATTATATGATTAATTTCAATAACTTAACTTAAAAGTTTTACTAAAATAATAGATTCGATACTTAATATATATTTAAAAATAAAATTGATTTCAATTTAAAATATATTATTATAAAAATATTCTCTCTCCATGTTATGAAACATGGATTATAATATTTGTCGTCCAATTTGTTTAGCAATTCAAGTAATTGAAAATTCTCTCCATAATATTGTTTGGATCGGGATGAGATTTAAATACGATGGTGCAAATATAAAGAGGATTATTAGAACGTTGTATGATTAACTAATGGTTATAAAATACTATTATTATTTTTTGGAACGCAATAAAATGCATATTTTCTGTTAAAAAGCCTTAAATTCGAGGATATATTTAAAAATCTTAAAATTTTTAGGATTAAAATTAAACAAACTCTAGGGATGCTATAGCACCAATCTATGCTGTAAATTTTTAAGATTAAAATTGAACAAACCTTGTCATTCGGTTTCTTGGCTCAATTTTTGAATTATATATATATATATGATGTTGATGTTTGCATCAATTTGCATGCTCTAATAAATTATTATCGTATGTATGGACTCATACCTTGGTATTATATAGTTATCGCACGTCTCAACAATATATCTCAATTAGCGAAAATACCTTTCGAAAAATGATAATGACTTCGCCAAAAATCGATAGATTATCCAAACAATATGCAAGATTTATTCTAATTATCTTTGTGGGCTTGTTCATCATAAAGTTTAAACATATGTCATTATCTAACTCGACATATTAAGTTATATAAACTACTACAAATATGATTTGTAGTTTAATATATTATACAAAAATTAATAACTCTCTACCTACAGATAAGTCGGTCCAACCTAATTACAAATTATGTCAATATATTAAATTATAAAAACTCACGTAAACATAATTCATAATTTAGTGTACATACATAAAATCAGGACTGCTGATCTTGCTAAGATTTCATAAATCCATAGATGCACCAAATTACAGCACAATTAGCGACCCAAAAAGAGGTGGATAAACGTGCATGTATTTACCTTTCCTTCTAAGGCAAGCCAAGCCGAGAAATATTTTATAGCCCAAGAAGGTTGGTTTTATTACCTAACATGCACATAGAATTTCATACGTTCATGTCGTTGAAAAAAGCTGGCTTTCTTAGCTGTATTGGTCGAGTAGAGGGAGATTTCAAATCTAAATGTGCTCCTCATGATGACAATCTGCATGGCCTACATATGATGTTGGACCCAATTTCCCTGCACTAAAGAGTCAGATTTTGTACCTTTGTTTCAATAATTTATGAGGTTTTTTTTTTCTTTCATGAAATTTTTAAATTAAATTATCAAATTTAGTTTTGGAATTAATGACGTAATTTATATATAATTATTTTTATTTTTAAAATGTTTTTACGAGTTAGATAAAAAAATAAAAAGTTTTTATGTAAAAATTAAGTGATTAATTTTGATGTTTTGACATAAAAATCTTGAAAAAATATATATATATTTAAGAATAAAACTGACTTGATTAAAGATATAAAAATATATTAAAAAATTATTTCATTATATAACGATAAATTGAATCATTAACTTTTTTCTTTTTTTTTCGATTAAAGTTTGAGTTTGCAACAAAGAAGAAAGAAGGAAAAAAATGCGTTCCTTTTTAAGGCAGAACATTTTTTTTTGTTTATCAAATATATTATATATATTCCAAAAAAGATATATATTTCATAGAATATTTCTTGGGATTAATCAATTTTCAACTTTAGATCCCAGCCTTTACCCATTGAAACAAAAAGGTCGACAATTTTATTATTATTATTATTATTATTATGAATCGTGGTTGGGATCTTGGCATCTTGCCGATGAAACTGCTCTATCATAAGAAAATGGTTAGGTGGCATTGATTGGGATGATTATGAACCCTTAACTATTTTTGAAATTGGATCCCTATATTTACATATATTTACATACATAGTATTATAGTGTTGATTGATTTTTTATATATATTTGTAATAAGAAAAAATGTCTTTACATGTTCTCATAGTTATATGTTTGGAGTTGTATCAAATCTATTCTTATATGTTTAATTGTATTTAATTTATTCTTAAAAAATTAATTTATCTAAGATCTATCCTTCCGCCGTATTTTCATCAGTAAAACTAATGAAAATATATCAATTGATTTACATCTGACCAACTTTTGTTTTTTATTTTATTTTTACTGAGAGTTTTTTTGTTCTTATATATTTAAATTTGATCATGTGCAAATCATATAATGTAATTTTGTTATTTTTCAAAATAACAATATGACGAAATGACAAATTAGAGAGATAATAATCTTTTAAGGTTGTAATTAAACATACAAGAATAAATATAATCAAAAAGTCTATTTAAAATCTGATTAAAAATATAATCTTGATTTTCAATATATGAGAACCGCTATGACAACATTTTTACTACAATATATATATATATATAACACCATTCACATTTATTTGAACCAAAATTATTTTTGGTTGGTGCTTTGAATCCCAATATTATTATAATACAACAGTCTCTAAATGCGATTGGTCTATTCCTTCTCGTAGGAATGCATAATAATAATTTCTAATTTTGTCAACCCTCTTTTCAAAAGACAAAACATCATAATATGGTTAGCATTTACATTTAACATAAAAAATCTACGATTTATCCATTTGAAATTATTTTTGGACAGATCAAAACAAACTGTATATTATATTTAATATTTTTCCCTTTTCACGTGAAGAAATGCAAACTTAGAAATACATATTAATACATCGAGATACCATGAGTTATATTTTCATATTATTTAAATAAGACTCGTGCAATGTGAGTCATGTGAGATGTGACTACATGTTATATGCCAAGACATGGTCTCAACAACCGATCAATGATGATGCACACACTCATATTATATATATTTTGTATTTTTGTATAATGAAATGTAATGTTTTTGTTCTCTTGGAGTTACGAATATTTTAAATCGTTAACGGTTAAAAAAACAATCATAATTACTATTAAAAACCATGACCGTTGTTTAAATTTATGATAATTTTTTTTCATTTACGCTTCTTTTTAAGTTTCAATACAAGAGACAGATATTAATACGTAGTTTATATATATATATATATATATATATATATATATATATATATAAAATGAAGTATTTTTGAATTAATTTTTGTATCTATTGAATCAATCAAATCCAATATTATTAAGAAATAATTATAACTAATGTTTTATAAGAAGTAAAAATTAAATTTTAGTCTTAACCAAATTAAGATAATTTTATTACCGTGAGACTATATTTCTTAAACTATGGATATAAATACTTATATATACACTCAAATATTTAAATGTTTTAGAGTTGGTAGGCTACTTGACAAAACCATGGGTGTACGTTACCCACCAAAACAAACATGCAAAACAGTGGGTGTTCCCTCTTCTGCATCTTCTCTTTCTTTTTAATTTATTTTTTTCTCTTTTGAATTTAATGTTATAAATATTTTTAGGACATTATGTTATTGAGACTTTTTTTTTTTTTAATTTGAACTATAAATAATTTGGTGAAAAGAAAATCTACTTCATGACCATATTCAACGAACAATATTTCAATAAAGAAAAACTCTCATAATAAACATTTTTGTTGTTAGTAATTTGAAAATCTCTTACTTTAATTTCAAATTTAGTAAATTCTAAGAGAAAAAACGATGACATATCCTCTTGTAAAATTAAAATGTATATATATACATTTAGAATTTTTAGTGAAATGTAATTAGAATCATCACATATTTTTATATTTTTTTCTTATTTAGATGATTTGTGATTTATAGTTAGCTATGGATTCATAATTTTTTCCATTCAAATCAACACCTTAAATATAAATTAATTTTAAAAATAATAACATTATTCTTAGATGATTGTTTTAGATAATTATCACATTACTTTTTTCATAAGTGAATTCTATAAAATAATATATATATTTTTTAAATATGACTTTATCATAAATTCACCATAACCTTTGTTTCCTTCTTATTACAATTGCTCACATTTCAAAATCCCTTCCATTTCTCCAAACCAAAAATAGAAAAAAAAAAAAAAAAATTGCCTTATCTATCAGTACAATAAATATCTTCATAAAAGATAAGAGATAAGAAATCCATCAAATTTATACTCTACCACCCTTGTATTCTACGTATAAAAATACACCATATCTAAATACACTTCAATCCCTCTCTATAATTATCAAATTCCAATAAAAGATATTTCCCCCCTTTTTTTTTGTGGGCCCTCTAAAAAATATATCCACAATTTCCAGTTTAAAAGCATAAGATAAAAAATTTAAAACAAATCGTAAAATTAAATAAAAAATTAGATTAATTACCTTAAAAATAGCCATTTTCCTTGATTATAAAAGCATCCATTTCCATATTTTTCTCCCTCTATAAAGACGCCTCTCTTCCATTCCAAACCCTCTCCCTGAATTCACTCTCTGCTTTCTCTCTCTAAAAACGCGGAAGCCTCTACCTCTCTCGTCCTTTCTCACTCTCCTGCAATGGCTTCCAATGGCGCGAACGACAAGTCACTGATCGTCAGTTTCGGGGAGATGCTAATAGACTTCGTCCCGACTGCCTCCGGTGTCTCCCTCGCTGAAGCTCCCGGATTTTTGAAAGCACCGGGTGGTGCTCCGGCGAACGTGGCGATCGCGGTGGCGAGACTAGGAGGAAAGGCGGCGTTTGTTGGAAAACTTGGTGACGATGAGTTCGGTCACATGCTCGCCGGAATTTTGAAGGAAAACAACGTGATAGCTACCGGTATTAACTTTGACACGGGTGCTAGGACCGCTCTAGCGTTTGTTACTCTACGCGCTGATGGAGAGCGTGAGTTCATGTTTTATAGGAATCCAAGTGCTGATATGTTACTAAAGCCAGAAGAGTTAAATCTCGAGTTAATTAGATCTGTAAGTGTGATTATTTACAGTTTTTTTCTTTAACGATTTGATTTTTACTTCTCTTAAGACTCTTATAGCGTTGGTGGTGGGCTCTGAATTTTTTTTTTTTTTTTTACCGTGGTGTGTTTTGGGGTGGAGGTAACGCGCTTGGTTGGTGAGAGTGAGGGAGGTTTTTTAGGAGGGTAACGCGTCAGCATGGTCATATGGGTGGGATCTGGCTGGATCTTAGATCTCAATTAGTGGCAAGATTCATGCGGTTATGAAAAAGGATGATGCTACGATAGTGTCACTTGTGGTTGCACAGAATTGAATGATTGCTTCGGAAAATATTCTAGGGAATTTCATAAGTTGATTTTTTTTTAAATATAAATTAAATTGACTATTTTTCGTGTAAAATATTTTTTTTCCAGGTATTTACGTTGTCGTCTTTGATTTTGTATGTACAGGCTAAGGTTTTCCACTATGGATCAATAAGTTTGATTGTGGAGCCATGTAGATCAGCACATCTAGAGGCAATGAAGGAGGCAAAGAAAGCAGGTGCACTACTTTCCTATGACCCAAATTTGAGGCTGCCATTGTGGCCATCTGCAGAGGAGGCGCGTGAGCAGATATTGAGCATTTGGGACGAGGCAGATTTGGTCAAAGTGAGTGATGTTGAGCTTGAGTTCCTCACTGGAAGTGATAAAATTGATGATGAATCTGCTTTGACACTTTGGCGTCCTAACTTTAAGTTGCTCTTGGTCACCCTTGGTGAAAATGGATGCAAATATTACACCAAGGTGAGTAATTTTATTTCAGTGTTTTTCTCAAGTTTTTTGGTTAAGTATGAGGCTAGGTGTAATCAATGCCGTCTGTTACAAAAATTTGACTTCCAGCTGGAATTAGGGTAGATGATGAATTTTATGGCTGTCTATGGTGCTTCTTGCTAGTGGGCTGATGCTTTTCTCAGATGTGGGACCTTATATTCTATAATTAGGGATCCAAACTTGATTTATTTAATCAGGAGTATGCTTTAACCTTTTGGAATTTCATGAAATGACTACTATTTAATTAGAAAGAACAAGGAAAGGTGAAGAAAGTTTGACACTTAACCTTTAATCTATCCCATGAGCCAGTCCTCGATCATGCTTTTCACAATGAGTTGTTTTGTTGTCTACGTTTAAAGTGTTAAATTTGAAATTATGACCAGAAGTCTATTATGTGATCAACAGCGTGAATTTTGTTTTGGAATGTAATAGTGGTCAAATAAGCATGCAATGGAAGGGATCAAGAAATTCATCTGACAAAACTATTGGCTAAGTTCAGATGTCAGGCTTGCCAATTGGTGCGTGTTGTCAGTATCTTGGTCAAAAGCCTCAACCACCAGAATGGATATAGTTTTCCTTTGTTTATTGTTATGCTAGCTGGTGGGTGTTTGGCCCACTCTGCAAGTTGAAAGTGAGTTTTGGTGTGCATTTATTTAAATCCTGAGCGCATCAGAGTGCGGTCATTTAGGTCACATTTAAAGCTAAATTATCTACATCTACTGGATTACTTGCTAGGGGGATGGAGCTATTCTAGAGAAGAAAAAAATGTGCACATGGGGTGTTTTGGATGAACTTGGAGCTCTGTTAATATCATGATTTTGTTTGGTCTGATAATTGGAAACATTTGCTGGAAATATGGTTTCTTTTGTACATATTGGATAGGGCAAATACTTGAATTGATCTAGTATAAATGGCGTGCAAATTTTGGTTTCTTGATTCAATTAGATTGGAAACTCTTTTCTTTTCTTTTGGGTTACAAGATTGGAAACTCTTTGAAGTTTGTCATAAAGCAAACTTCTTTTCAGGGGGCATCCGAAAAGTCAATGCCTTGCTATGTGATCTTGCACCAAACTAGTTGTTGTGTTTATCTCCCAACAACCCAAGAAACTAATAAACCAAAAGTTAGGGTTACGTCTCTCCTTGTTTCTTTGCTTAAAACTTGTTTTCTGTGTCCCCCAACAACTGAAGTGAAGACACCGATGAAAAGAATAGGGCTTTTGCGTCTTTCCTAAAATGTTATGTGAATGAAAAAGATCCTATTTTAACCATAAATGGACTTGGTTAGCCAAATGCTGAAATATTCTCCAATTGTTTTGTCGAACTACAGAATTTCCACGGATCGGTTGATGCTTTCCATGTCGAGACTGTTGATACAACAGGTGCTGGTGATTCTTTCATTGGTGCACTCCTTACCAAGCTTGTCGACGACCAATCCGTGCTCGAGGTAAAAAAAAAAAAAAAAAAACTAATAAACTCTATAGAGTATTAGATTCCGATACCCTTATCGAAGACAGATTTTCGGATTCATTTCTCTTGACATTTGATGTTATTTTTATCTTCAGGACGAAGCAAGGTTGAGGGAGATACTTAGATTTGCAAATGCATGTGGAGCCATTACAACCACCAAAAAGGGGGCAATCCCTGCTCTTCCAACTCCAGCCGAGGCCCTCAAACTGTTGAACGCAAAAAAATAGGCTCTTTCGTTTTTTTCCTCTTTTTGTTTTTCTTCTCTAGGTCGTGATCCCTCCTTTTATTGTCGCTCGCGATTCGATTGCAGGGCAAACGAAAATTCTCTTTTTCTCTTGAATGTAATCATTAGAAAGACTTGCTATAAGGTCTTTCCAAATAAATTTTTTTATTTTGAGTGTGGGCAGGAAGAGCAATCATCAAAATGTTTACTTTCTCCAAATATTTTAGTGTTTTTAAAGCTAAATATTTCTGCCAAACGATGAAGAAGGTAAGCCGTTTCTCTAAAAAGTTGGCTAGACGAGTGGGAATTTATAACGTGTTAAAGGTGAATCATCCTTTTGAAGAATATTGTTCTTTTTATCCCTACTTTTTTCCCAAAAATAGATTAAGGTATCTCAAATGAAATTTATGAGTAAATTATAAATCAGTCCCTCTATTTTTAATTAAAAAAATTAGTTAATTTTTTTATTTTAAAAATTAATTGTTTAGTTTATTTGTTAGTTTTGATTATGTTTAATTTAGTATTATTTTATTTTTTAATGTTATTAACAAAAAAATCAAAACAAATTGAAAAAAAGGGATTAACTTACAATTTTTTTTAAAAAATATAGGTTCTAAATAATTAAATTTTGATCTTGAAAATAGACAGACTAATTTATAATTTACTCTGAAAAAAAAGGCTCATAATGTTATAATGAAACAAAATGTTAAGTTCCACTAATCCAGGGCTTATGTAGTATATTTGAACGAACTTATAGTGATGACCCCCTAGATAACGAGGTTAAGATGGGAAACCGAAACCGATCAAACGATGAGGAAAAATGACAATTTGATTTTAAATCCTAAACCATAAACTCTTTAATCCAGAGCTTAATAATAACAAGCACTGGATACATGCATTTATAGACAATAATAATCTATGATTCTCATGATAGTTTGTCACTGTAATTAGCAGTCATAAACCACATTCTTACTAAATCTTCTTTCTTAAACATATAATATTTGGTCCTCCAAATTGTGATTGTTGAGCAAAGAAACAAGACCTCTACTTCGATATGCAGGCTTGAAGAGTTGATGTTCGAGAGGTTATTGCTACAAGACGATTGCTTGTGGATAGCATTCACTTACCTCCATCTGCAAGGACCTCCAACTTTGCTTGCATTTTGCCCACTTTGAGTGCATTTGGATCAGAAATGCCTCCGCCCATGGTTCATTGCTTCCTCCCATGCTCAGTTCATAAGGCACCGAGAAGCTGTTACGATGTTTTGAAACAATTATGCAGATGTTCAACATGCAGCATAGCAATGTACAAGTATTGTCTAAATGACTGCAGATAAGATCCCCAAGGTTTAGCTGGTCACAACTACTCTGTCCCGCCCCAGATGGATTCCATGCACAGAAGAAATGAAAAGGGGATCGCTGGTTTGGGCAAACGAGGATGAAAATCGAGGCTGGTTCAGAATGGAGGCAGCTTTAAGGGATCTCTAACCCACCCCAACCAGGTTTCACATTCATATATTAGGATAACCCTCCTTTCTTACGTATTTTTCACCAGCAAAATCATTTATGTTTGCCTCTGTTTTCTCTTTCTTTTTCCTATGTGCAAGATCATAGAAACCCAGTTGCAACCTTATCACCTCCACCAACACTGCAATCACTTTTCCATCTCTTAAATCTTTTACACCTTTAACAAAACTCATCTTGGTCTGCATTTTTGCCACCTACTTGCCTATATTTTTTGCAACGGAATATGGAATAGAGTATTACCTTAGCAGTTCTTCTGGCTGAGATCCTTTCTTGGGTGAAGCATTCCTGCAGGAACCATGATTTGACAGTACTTGTTATTAGTTTTAGCATCAATTAACAATATGCCACTACTCCATGCAACATCTTTATAAGAAACTAATTTTTTCTGTCCATCAATTACAAATGTGCATTTTGCTTGGTGATTTTAAGAAAACTATCATATTTTTGGCAGGCAGTCCAAATCGGACTCCGAAGCCCCATATAGACAATCTGACCAGCTTTCTTTCAACAAAGATTGTTCAGATACATATTCCCCCACACTGATCTTCTTTTTCGCAAACTCTGTGTGAAGTATTGCAACTGCATGAAATTGCCTCTAGGACAAAATCACTTTCTTTGATGCCAAAAAAAATGATGGATACAATTTTAATGAAGAATTGGGAGAAGTGAGTTACAGCTGACGTTAAAGATGGAAGGTTTCTACATTATACTGGCCCAACAGGTCCTCAAATATCATTCAAATGACCACTACAAGTATCTCTTAAATTCCGAGTCTAAATAAATTAACAGATGTGAATCAGGAAAAACAAACCTGCTGACTAAAATTTGGAAGATACGAAGGTACTTAGTGGAAAGATTATATATGGCATCTTCGATGTGCTGCTTGCTGAACAAGTACACTACTGGATAACCAAGGAGCCATCTGAAGCACATTCAATGCACAGTTTTATTGCACTATAACACTATCTACTAATGTATGCAGATTAACCGAGTTACCATGTCAAACAAATCAGTTATTCAGTTTTACTCTATCAAATACAAGCTACTAACACATGGCATATGCATTTATACGGTTGATCAACGGCTGAGAATAGAGAAGGTGGTCTACCAGATGACTATCAGTTATGATGAAATAAACATATCTCTTATCCAGATTTAACCAAACCATTTCTTGAAATAGGAAATTACCCATTTAAAGTTGGCACGGTGACCTCAGTGTCCTTCATGCAGCAACTAAGATCAATAAACTCAGATGATTGAGAAGTGGCAGGCTTATTGATGGAAGATTCAGCATTAGCCACACTATCTAACATCTGATGCGACAAGAGGTCATTGCTGGTTCCATTCAGGGGGAAAATTGAAGAGAACAGCTTCTGAACTCTTATAAGCTCTGCAACTAGAGAGCTTTGCTCCGCTTGCCTTACCATCTTTATCAGAAAAAGAAAACAAAAAGGATATGAGTTTTAATCACTGACGGTCCATGATAGAATATGCGTGTTAAAGGGAAAGCAATCAAATTCTTTATTACCAAATAAAAGAATAAAGAAGGCAGCAACCTTGGGAGGATCCTCTTCTAGGTTGACAAAGAACAATTCTACTTCCAAATTCAAGCTTGACTTAACATAGTCAGCAAGCCCTCTTACATGTATCAAATATATCATGTCTTCTATCACCATCACTCTAAGATTCTCAAAAAGAGCCGACTCCTGTTAAATTTATACATAAACAAAGCAATGGAAAATCAATCAGGGAACAAAACAAAAATCAAGGGAACAACACTATCAGAAAGACTAACAAGTTAACAACCACATAGTTTACCAACTTGATCAAACTTAAACAATTTTCAACTAAAACGAAGATTATGCCCTATTCAAAGTTAAGAATAAAATTTAACCTCAAACCAGCATTGTGTTGTCTTAAAATGAAATATTTTTAGGACAACATGGGACATATACAATACCTGTTGACAAAATTTAACAAGAGCACAAAGATGGTCTTGTAATTCAGGCAACTTCCCACCATAGTCAACCATTATAACAGGCCTCATTTCTGTCAGCAAAGCTACAATATCTGCAAACAAAACTCAAAAAATAAAAATAAAAAATAAAAACACCAGAAATGAAAACAAGTCTGGATTTTGAAGGAAACCCAGAAATCTATATATCGTAGAAAGATGAGAAAGACCTATTTGGAGACGATTTTTTGCTGGAAATTTGAGGCGCCATTTGATGTGAGAGAGAGCAGCATCCAACATTTTTATTGCTTCCTCCATTTTTTTTTTTTTTTTTTTGTCTGGACACAAGTGGAGCGGAAGGATCAAGTTCTTCCATTCTGCCCAAAATTTTAACGAGGTGACCGACCTGTCGTCTACGTCTTTCCTCAAAAGACTCGTCGTTCACTTGCTGGGCTTCAGTACTCATTTTTTTTAAAAAAAAAATTAAATAGGGAGATGCAAGCCCTAGTCTGAAAAATATTTATTAGCTGAATTTTAATGATGTCTTTGTTTATACAAGTAAATATAATCTAACGGTTATATATTCGATAATTTTTTTTAATAAAACATAATTGAATTTTAATGACTAATTTAATCGGTTTTATTATGTATTGGAAAAAATAAGGTTGTTTTCTAACGTTGTCTTAAACCCGAGACAATAACTTTTGACAACAAATTCACTTATCATCCCAACCAAATCTCAAAGATTAATCAAAACCTTCAATTGAAATTTGGATTGGAACCAATGATTTCATCAAGAAAAACATTTGGAACCACATACATTCTTTTCTTCCGTGTTTGATTATATTTATCAAATCCAAACCATGAAGGACTTGAATTAAGCATATGTAATTATTCGAATTTTATCTCACGTAATCCAAATCATTAAATTCAAAATGAACGATAAAATTTGGAATAAGATGACAGATTGTAATTCAGTGATATATGAATGTACAATTGGTTCAATCACCTCATACATTGTACATAGAATGTTAATCATCATGAATGATTAGGGCTACCAACTTGAGACCTAAAATGTTCAATGCTAACTAAGAAGCTTTTAAACTATAAGATACAAAAATTGGTGTGCAAGGAGACAACAGGACCAACAGATTTTAAGTACTAACAAGTATGCAAAAGAGGAAAGGGAAGGAAGAAAGAATATCAAATCCAACGATTTTTCCATTAAAATTCCGCTGAACCAGGTACTCGAGGGAACGGTATTGCATCGCGTATATTTTCGATTCCAGTAGCGAATTGCACAAGCCTTTCAAAACCCAATCCGAAACCTGCATGAGGAACTGACCATACGGAAACAAGAGATCAGAACAATGGATGTTTCGAGTAACAGATTTTCAACCATTTACAGGATATCGAAGCAATAAAAGAGAAAAATAGGACACAAATTCCCCAGCTCTCCTTGAACTCCATATTTTGTGTACTCTCTGTAGTACTGAATTCAATCTAGAATCAAACTGACATCAAATTGTTTTAAGTACTTCATTGGAGTTTCCGAGAAGTTAGAAACTTCAAAGCAGAAATGAAATGGCGAACCCAAAATCTCTAAGTCACCAAGCTAGAAATTAGACAATTGAGAAACTGTTAGCTTCAAGAAGTGAAATTTCTCACCTGAACCATAACGTCGCAAATCAAGATACCACCAGAAGCTTTCCTTGTTTAGCTTTAAGTCATCTAAACGGTCTTCTAGATACTCAAGCCGTTCTTCTCTTTGGCTTCCACCAATAAGCTCACCAACCTGACAATAAAACAAATTCTTATATGATAAATTCCACTAAGAAAAAGGTTTTTAAACTCATCCCCCAGATACTTCTCTGGTTTTTCAAGAATTATGCCCATATAATTCATTTTCACCTCCCTAACAACGGCTGTATGTGAAATAAAACATAATGGCTCCCTAGACATAGTAATTTCTTGAAAATCAAAAAGCAAGTTATGATGGAATTAGGAAATGGATATTTACCCGAGGAACCAGCATATCCATAGCAGCAACAGTCTTCCCATCATCATTTTGCCGCATATAAAATGCTTTGATGTCCTGAGGGTTTTAGATTGGAGAGCCACAGGACTTAATATTAATTCCGAGAACAATATACACTCTAAAATATGTTTTTACTTCCTTTTCCTTACTTTAGAAAAGCGAAAGGGTACAGACCAGGTGGCAGTCTGATGCATACCTTTGGATAATCTCTGATTATCACAGGGCAATCACCGAACGCCTCTTCAGTTATATAACGCTCATGCTCGCTTTGTAAATCACATCCCCATTCCACCTAGAAATCACATGACAATTATTTCGAGGAACTGTAAATTGGCATAACAGATTACTAAAGCAGTTCCAACCATAGATAGATCAAATTAACCATTCATCATGAAACCTTTAGACAGTTAAGATGCAACTTCAAACTGGCTTGAAATGTAGGGCTTCATGTTTTAATCAATAAAAAAGACTACGATGCCTATCCTCCAACCCATCATTGTCCGTTTTGGCAAATCAAACAACATTTCAGTACTATAATGAATTGAGACTGCAATAAGTGATCCTGTCATCACTCAGATGAGGCAGAAACTGATAATAGTGACTCTTGTTAGAAACCAAGAGTAATACAGACTTCAAAGGCATAATCAACATATATGCATTTTGTTTTAAGGTCAACAAGTATGATATAACTATTTTTGGTACTTATTCAGTAAAAAGAAAAGAAATTTAGTGGATAAATGTAGTTTCTAACCTAGTCCCAGCAACAGTTAGTAGCAACAACTAGCTAATACACAATAACATCAGCAAGCAATGGTCAACAGAAAAGTCTAAATATTGGGACGGCTATGTAGTACCGGGAATTCAAACTTCTTTTTTGTTTTCAGAAGAAGTTCAACTGCATCAGTATAAGTCAATTGAACAAAATCTTTCTCAGCCACATCCTGCAAATTAAACAAAGAAAATTGTGTCAGAAAAACATGGAAATTACATCTAGAGTCAAAACAACAAATCAAGAACCATGTCATGCAACAATATAAGTGGAAAGTATGAAGCACATGACAAAATTTTTGAAGAAAGATAAAGTTACAGTAGAGAGCTCATACACTCAATCGATCGATGATTCCCTTCTCAATCCAAGTATTGAAAAATTCCATGTCTTCCTTGCAGTTTTCAAGGACATGTCTCACCTTCCACATAAAAATTTTGTCAATCAATTATCGTATGAGAAAAATATGTAAGTTTGACTTCATGAGTGCATGTGCAAGCTTGCCTCTAGCCATATAGTGCTAAATTAACAATAGAGAAGATGTGAAAAGTAACATACTACGTACTGGAGATAGGCAGTTGCACAGGCCATGTCATCATTCAGATCAGCAAATGCAAGTTCTGGTTCAATCATCTTAAGGAAAGAAACAGAAAAATTATAATGAACTCAGATAATGCATGATCCAGAAGAGCCAAACTTTGAAAAAAAAAAAAAAAGGAATAAGAAGAAGGAGGAGAAAAAGAAGGCAAAAGCAAGTACACTTACCCAAAATTCAGCCAAATGCCTAGAAGTGTTAGAATTTTCAGCTCGAAATGTAGGACCAAATGTGTACACCTAAAACAAGAGCAAAAGTGTACCATAAGGAGGAAAAGGTTGAAATAGTTCTTATTTACTAAATGACATGAAAATAATGAAGAAAGAATAAGTGGAAATATATACATCAGAAAGAGCAGTAGCATATGTTTCAGCATTGAGCTGGCCAGAGACTGTCAGAAAAGCTGGCTTGCCAAAAAAGTCCTGAGAAATGAATTAAGGCAATGAAAATTACATCAATGCTGATCTAATATAAACTGGCATTGCCTGTTTCCAAATTAAAGCAGAAATAAGCTCAATTAGGGGGAAAGTAAAGTATAGATCCGGTGCCAGCCCTAACAAGCTTCTTAATCACAATGCTGATCTAACATAAAGGTTTGCCAAGGGACAGAAAAGCATAACATTTTCAGATGGCTAAGAAATACATTTTGTTCCTTAAGAAATCGGTATGTGATTGGCTTTGATTTTTGTGGCGTGACAGATAAGGGAAAGGAGGGAGGCACATGCTATACTAAGGTCTACTTTTGAGCAAACTAGTAAGAAAAAGCATGTTCAACTCACTTGTGACCAATCAATCAACCCATCCTTTGTTTTTGGAACCCCATCCACCACAGAATTGGTAGCTTCTTGAGAACCTGGAATCTGTTATTTCAGAAGTACAGTGAAATTAATAGAGTATCAAGAACAGCAGCAGTTGTATAAAACTTTTGCAGTGTGAGTTACTGGCAGAATTAGTGTAGCTTATTCGAGTACATTCTAACCCCAAGTACATTAAATTAGCATATATTGTGCATGGTTATATATTTCAAAACGCTAGTTAGATGGGATTGAAGTAAACCATGCAAACTAAATTATAGCCAAAAACAGGCATCTTGGTGTACTTTTCAGTATATTAATAACGATGTTTCTATGAGAAAATATATATGTTTATTTTAAGAAATTAACAATCTGAAATCATAAACAACTTAAGTAGTGCATACCAAGGTAGTCACGCAGAACTGTTCACCGGCCCCTTCACAATCTGAAGCTGTAATAATAGGACTGGAGACCCAAACAAACCCATTTTCTTGAAAAAACTTGTGAGTGGCATATGCCAACGCATTCCGCACCCTTGCAACCTAGAATCAATTAGCATCATTTACAAAGATGACCTAAAAGCTCCATTGAAAGAAAGTATAAAACATGCTTGCCATATTAAATGGCCAGGAAGGACCAAAAAGTGGAAACAGAAACAAGAAGCAGAATCATACCGCACCAAATGTATTTGTTCTAGGACGAAGGTGAGCTTTAGTTCTCAAAAATTCTCTGCTGACCCTTTTCTTTTGAATGGGATAGGAAGGATCACTCTTGCCAACCTATAAGAAAAAAAGAGATTTCAGGTGAAAATTAGCAAGCAGAATCACATTTTTATGTCATATGCAGATTGACACTCAAATGCCAATAGAGATCACATGTAAAAAAATAAAAATAAAAATCCCCATATACCAAGACCCATTTTTTTTTCTAATTACTTGTCATCCATAATACCATTGGGGATAGAATAGAGATGACATCTCCCAATACCTTAGAGTTCATTCTTTCCCTTATTCACAGTGTATGGTTTTATGCAAGTACAGATTTACTGTGATTTATTTGTGTCATATGAGAGGTGAGAATATGAGAAAGATTGAAAACTTTTATTTGCTCCTGTGCACTCTTTTTAGTGTCCTGTTTCGTCCTGCCATCTTTTAATTTGCTTCATCTCGTACTTCAGTCATTATAAATTCAAAAGGATCCAATTTTTGGTCTGTAGCTTTTCTCTAATCCAGGGTTAGAGGGATATATTAGCATTAGCAGTAGCCTGTCTAAAGCACGAGAGAAGAAATTAGTTAATCTGTACAAATTTCCATTGCAATCACTTGCCATTAGTTAATGCAAGTAATCAAATTATGTGTTGATGAGTTCATGTGAAAGTTAGCTCCCTATCTACCAGGAAATGACAAAAGATATCATACCGCTACAATTTTGTTAACCTTCAGCTCCACCTTCTGTTTTGACCCTTGGCTCTTCACCACAGTTCCTCGCACCCATATTGATGCGCCAGTTGTTACCAAGCCAGACTCTACCTATTAATAAGCTCCAAAGCTTGAATAAACGTAAAATGACAGCAATACAGACCACATGTAAGATGAATACATCATCGTATAAACACGATATGGCAACTTCTGAAATTCTACTTAAAGACAGCAAATTGATGCAGCTTAATATTTATGAAGCAAATTTTTTATATAAATAGAAGCGTAGATAAAAAAAAGCAGAACAGAAGTACACTTGTTACTGGTTGTTTACACCATGGATGATTCTGAATAATGTCCCTAAGCTATTAGTGTCAACCAAACTTAAGAAGAGAAGTTAAGATGTCAAGTCTATACAGATTATCTTCCACATAAAATTAAAAAACTAAGAAGTATATATACATAAATTATTGTTTAAGGTGATACCTGATCGTAACCTTCAGCCTCCAAGTCCATTACGCATTGCATGTTTGACAGGCATGAACCATCATTAACCTGTATAGGTTTAATAAAAGATATCCCAATCAGCTAATCCAAGAAGTCCAATTTAAAACAACTTAAATCGTATGAGTAACCATCATTATGACCTCAATAAAAGTAACACTACTCTGAACTCGAAGTGTGCGAACCCAACCCATCACGACAATGGTCTTCCCTACACGATCCAGCCCTTCATCCGGACCACCCTTTATATCAGCAATCCTCAACTTCTTTCTAAATTCTCCAACTCTATTTCCCATTTCACCCTTCTCCTTCTCCAAAAACTCCACTTTTGCACTCTCACTGGACTGTAGAGCGCCAGAAATCACACTGCAGAAAAACCTCTGGCGAGGCAAGCCTGAAAGTTGCAACAAATGGTGGAACTTTGGAGGTATGGCATGAGGTTTTGTTATTGTCTTGAGGATTGCAGGGAGGTTACTAGGGCTTGATTTGGGGTAAAAGGATAGCAACCGGAGAGTTGACCCTGGGTTTAACCGCAGGGAAGTGGCTGGTCCTAATGCAGCAATAGCCATAAGGCTCTTTATTTTTGTCTTGTTATGTGAATAGAGATTTAATCAGTCACTAAAGTATTTCTATAAACTGAGTATCGCTTTTGATATTATTCCATGGAATCCCCTGCAACATCAAGCAGAAATAGATAGATAGCATCATATATTCGTCAAAATAGATATAAACTTTATACAAAACGGTCACGCTTGGTTCACTCAAAATTGATGAAAACAGAATGGAATCTCTTTCCATTCCTTTGTCTAATGCTCTTTGCTTTCCTAAAATCAAGTAGTAAAATCATTCTACTTTCCATCATCAATTCCTTAGAAAACCAAACATTGCCTAAAGTCAAAAAGTTAGAAACTTCATATAAAAGAGGTCATATTTGGTTCACTCTACTAGTGCAAATGGAACGAAATCTCAATCCATTCCTTTGTTTAATTTTATTTGATTCACTAACATCAAGAATTACAATCCTTTCTTATTCCATCATCAATTCCTATGTAAAAAAAAAAAAACAAACATTGCCTAGCTAACAAACCAGACCATCATTAAAAAAGAAGAAGAAGAAGAAGAAACTTTACAAGTGAGATATACAAATACATGACCAAAACAACCAACTTTACCAAAAACTGTAAGAACCCACTTGGCGTGTTAAGTAGTGTTGTGTAAAGATGGAGTATTCTTGCAAGTTACAACAACAAAGCATGAAACTCACCTGTTACAACAGATAGATAAACATGAGCCAGGGGATTCTCTGAGAGTTATGAGCGTTGGCGTTGAGAAAGAAGGGAATGGTTCGAGGGAGATGGGATTGGGTTAATATCTATGGAGACAAGGCCTTGTAGTTGATGGGTCTACACGGGGCCTACGAGCCTTATATTCCCTGGTGAGTGTCAAAGAAAATTTTGGAAAATCTCTCATTTTTTATGAAAGGAAAAACCTGTTTTTGGGATGGAACAAGTACAACAATAGAAGTATCGAACTAGTACCATGTTGGAGGCTTTGCTGAATTTGTTTTTGGACATCATCATTTTTTATCTGTATATAACACTATAAAAATGATTTGTTTGAGACTTAATTCTAAAAAAAAATTAATATTTCGAAATGCAATTAAAAAAAGGTTTATTATCGTGGTTTTTTACTTTTACTAAAATTAGATTCGATAGGTCGAGTAACAAATCTTATTTATTGTTAAAAGTTGATCTGAAAATATTTTAAATTTAAAAATAAATAAATAAAAAATAATGCTCATTTTTATATAATTATCTTTTTTAATTCAATTATCGCAAAAATATCAATTATTAAATTTATAAAAATTACTAATAAATTCCACTCACCGAATTTTTTTTTATAAACAAGTTTCGAAAACAATTACTTAAGAATAATATTGCTAGGAAGTCTCAAATTTGATAATTTATTAATTATTTGTTATATTATTTGTCAAGCTCTGATTGGCCCAATGATGCAAAGAACACTAGTCAAATCTCAAAAGAAAAAGAATCAAAAGCTCTCCTTGCACGTGCGCACCACGTGCCACCCCATTTACATGATTCTCATTCCTTCTCTCGTTATTGCATCCCCAAACCCGTTACTTCCATACACAGTTTGCACGGTGCCTTGATAGAACAAAGCCCATCACCGAAAAGATCAAGATCCGATCACCGGAAACTCGAAGACAGTACCTCCAGGTCATATTCTTAGATCCATATCGAGTATATCTTTCTGAATGCGTTTGTGTGTATGTTTAAATGCAAATAGATTAGGTAGATAGGTAGGTAGATTGATTGGCATGTGTGTGTTTGTGTTTTGATTTGGTTGATATTCGAATTGGGATTTGGGGGTTAAGATTGATGTGGGATTTACTCAAATGGGTTTGTTGAAATTTTGGGTTAATGGGGGAGTTTTGGTGATGGATCATAGAGAGGTGGTTTTTTGGTAAAGTTTGGGACTATAGAGGATTTATTAGTTGAATTATGTACGGAAGAGAAGTTTTAGAAGCTTTTGAATGTGATTAGTTTGGTTTCTTAAAGAGGATTGCTAAGTGGGGTTTTGTAGGTATGCAGTTTTGGGCAGGGTAGTTTCTGTGAGTTGTGCTGTTTGATTGCAATTATTGGAGCGGTCGAAGGGAAGCCGCTGCGAGGTACTTGATGGGTTTTGGATTGGTGGGAGAGTGTTGGGATGTTTAGTGATGATGTTTAATTGTTTGGAACGCAAGAGGATTATGTTTAGGAGTATAAGATGTGTGATGATTTAGACTGTGGATATTGGTGGGGCTGTGTTCGTATAAACAATGGACATCCTGGAAGCATCCTTGTTGTGCCGTTTGTTTCATGAGCTCAATGTGAGATGCATAGCTTGAGTCTGTTTCTGTTGCTTAGAATGTGGTCAGATTATTAGTTTTCTTTTCCGGGCCTGTATATACTGGTGGTTAGATGCTAGCATAGATGGAGAGAATTGGACCCTGGAACACAAAAACATTCATGCCTTTAAGTCATGTGTTTCGGCTATTCTGCTAAATCCAACTGATATTTGTTGAGGCATCAAGTTCTTGAGAAAGTAGACAAAAAACTATATGCTTCTATCAATAATAAATGCATTTCAACTTCCACCATATTATAATTAAACTGTTAGAATATGCAGTAGATGGAGGAGAATGCATTTTGATTTTAGAATTATATGGAAACTTAATAGGTCTCAAGTTTATAGTTTCATTGTAAGGATGCAAAAGTCTTCCTCTTTTCTTAAGAACATTAAGTGTGATAAGTTCGTCCCTGTTAAGCTTGTAACTTTTTTTTCCTATTTTATTTAAATGACCTTATGGATTTAATTGGGTTTTGAAAACATTTAGAATTTAAGCATCCATTAGGAATCAGTGCTTGATTGACTCAGCTAAGATATATTCAGTGCTAATGAGCAGTTCTTCTGGAAACAAGCTTGTTCTGATATTTTTCTTCCCTCATCAGTGCAGAAATGTATAACAACGTGGGACCTCAGCCTGGGGTGCCAAGACCTCCAATCAACCCCCAGCCCACTCCATTTGGGAGTACCTTCTATGGAGCTGGTTCGGGACTCATTAAAGGTGGACTAGGTGCATATGGAGAGAAAATTCTGGGATCGAGTTCTGAGTATGTGCAAAGCAATGTAAGTAGCACTCGAGGATTTTATATCGGACACCATTTTGGTTTAAGTTTGCTGTAAGCCATACTGAATGCTACTGCTCTGGTTAACCATGCACTAGTCTCAGATTTGATTTATGTTGGACACGATGAAGCCTCGTGCCAGTGTCTTTAAACAACTGACATAGCACCATTTACATAAATGCTATGGGTTCATTTTAGACAGATTAAACTTCTGTAGTTTAGTTTGAGAGCTATGTGATTTTAGCTGTGACATGTTCTTTTCAATAATCAGATAAGTAGATACTTCTCTGATCCACAATACTATTTCCAAGTGAACGACCACTATGTGAGGAACAAATTGAAGGTTGTTCTGTTACCATTCCTGCATAGGGTAAGTAATCTAATCTAATGCTTTCGTCTAGCTTGCACACCATTTTTTTCCTATTGTTGTGGCCTTTTGTCCTTACTATCCTTTTATCAGGGACATTGGACGAGGATAACTGAGCCAGTAGGGGGCAGGCTTTCCTATAAACCCCCAATCTATGATATAAATGCACCGGACTTGTACATTCCTTTCATGGCATTTGGTACCTATGTTGTTCTTGCTGGCTTGTCATTGGGACTTAACGGAAAGTAAGTGGATTATATTCTCCAATCACCCAGCTTAGCCTTAATACTTATTTGTGCTGGTGGCAAGCTTGTGTTGGATGCATCTATGAATAGCTTCTCTATTTACCCTATTTTTTCCCATCCAAACACAGCCCATACTAAACTTTTTCATATTTAAAACATTAGCTTGTCATAGTACTATACCAATTTTTGGATAGTGTTTTGGTAATGTGGCTGGCCTTTAGTTATCTTGGTGTTAGTTTTGTTAGCAAAAAGCACTGTAAGCATGACAAATTTTGATTAGTACACAACTGTATTTTGTTGACCTGTCTGATAATAGTTCTAAAGAATGGAAAAAATTGCAATGTGTTCACATTTTCTTTTTTCTTACACGTAAATGGCTATTTTACCAAACCTTCGCTGCTAGATGGAGAGGGCTATGAAAGAAAATCCTTAATTTTCAAATTGCTCTTTTGTATGGCAGTTTTATTGCTGTTTCTGCAGCAATCGTATGGGGGCAATTGTGATAGTGTTGCTCAAAGTTGTCACTCTCATCCCCACATCTTGCACTGCACCTTTGTCTCTCACCTTTTTCTTCCTCCTTGATAATTTTTTTGTGTGTATCCAGACAGGGTGTGTGTATCTGTAAGCTTTAATAAAGCAAGTAATTTCTCAGCCAGATGAACCAATAGTTGCATTACATCTTTATTCCCCCAGATCTTTTGTTTGTTTTTCTTTGGCACTTTAATTTCATTTATCTGAGATCAAGTTATATTCCATTTGATGCGTTTTGCCAGAAGCTATCATTTGGCTGTTTGACAAGGGATTGCATGGCTGGTTTGGACAGGCTGCATTGTTCAAGCCAGCCAAACAATCTCTGGAATCAGATCTCATCAGTGAATTCTAACATCCTCTTTTATATTTAATCAGGGAATTAATTTCATTCATCTGAGCGCTCAAGTTTAATGTTATTTGATTCCAGGTTTAGCCCAGAAGCCCTCAATTGGCTGTTTGCCAAGGGATTGCTTGGCTGGTTTATGCAGTTTGCATTGCTCAAAATGATACTCCTTTCTTTGGGTAGTGGGGAGGCACCCGTGTTAGACATTGTTGCATATGCTGGGTATACTTTCACAGGCATGTGTTTTGCTGTCCTTGGAAAGATCGTATCTGGATACACTTACTACATTTTGATGCCATGTGCGTGCTTATGCATCGGAATTTTCTTGGTGAAGACAATGAAAAGAGTACTCTTTGCAGAGGTGAGGAGCTTTGATTCTAGCCGGCACCATTATCTCTTGCTCCTCATCGCTTTGGTTCAGTTCCCGCTTTTTGCATGGCTTAGCAATGTTAGTGTTAATTGGTTTCTCTAAACTGCCTTCTGTTATATTGTAGTTAGAAACATCATGTATTTGTAGAGCTATGAAATATCAGAAATTTTTTGCTACATTAGCTGATTTCCTGGCTATTGTTTTGCTGATAAGCATCTGAATCCACTTCACATTTCACCCACATTGAAATCTGGGGAAGTTTATGTTGTTTGATTTGATGTTTTGAGAAAAAGTAAGTTGCAATATTATGGATTAATTATCGTATGGATAAATGGAAATTAGTCCAACACTGGAATTGCTTTAATGAAGAGTACAGATTATGACACATTCTCCTTCACCGGAACCACTGAACTCTATTTTAGATGAAAATTAAACTTTTATCCCAGATTTCATTACGAACTAGAAACTTACCTCACTTGAAATTATTATAAACTTGGGTACATAGAATTTTCATGGTCATCCTTTGTGAATTTATATTAACTTCTCAAGTGCTGTGATCTTGCTGTCCAACACACTCTGAGCTTGGCCTTTGCCCTCCTCTGCAAAACCGAATGTTCGGAGGACACCTCAGGCAATTGTGGGCAAGGCTGCCTCTAACTGCCACTGTCCTGTCAATAAACTGTGCTGGAGGATTTCCTGTTAGAAAATTGTCTTCTAAGAACAAGCTTCTCCATGAACTACTCAGTTTTGCTCCATATTCTAGTGGGATTCTCCCTGAGAAGAAATTATGAGATAGATCAATTGATGACAAATTCGCTATATTAACCAAACTGATGGGAAGATGACCATGCAACCGGTTAGCGTGTGCGTCCAGCACCCGAAGCTGTAAATCGTCCCTAGGGTATGGTATTGCCTGCATTTCTGTGAATTGATTATTTGAGATGTTGATGCGTGTCACCAGAGGCAAAGTGAGAACTTCCTGACGAATGGGACCTGAAAGCCTGTTATCGCTCAAATCCAGTACTGTAAGGCGTTGGAGGACACTTACAGGGGAAATGTGTCCTGATAGTACATTATGGCTCAAGGACAACTTTCTCAGGTTTATTGGAAGATTGGGCACAATTCCATCTAGATTGTTGCCACTAAGATCTAATGTATTCAGCTGCCACAAACCGGAGAGGTCCGGAATTTTGCCCGACAAAGCGTTGTTCGACAAGCTTAACTGCACCAAGCTTCTCAAAGTGGTAATATTGGCAGGAATCTTGCTAGAGAGGTGGTTTTGTGACAGGTCTAAGATCTCAAGATGCTTGAGATTGATGATTCCTTGAGGTATTCTTCCAGTGAAGAGATTTTGAGACAATGATAGTCTGTTGAGCTTTTGAAGGTTGGCTATGGTTTCTGGTATCGGCCCTCGAAAATTGTTTTTGTTTATGCTAAGGGAGGTAAGCTCTGTTAAATTTCCGATCAACGGAGTTAGAAAGCCATCATATCCAGCAGGATCAAGATCTATTGCCATTATCCGGTTGGCTGTTTTGTCAGTAGGGAATGTGCATAAGATCCCTTGAAACCCCCTAAAGCCTCGCATGGATCGAATGTGAAATCCCAGCTATTGAGATAGGAATACCTGGTAATCGAGACAGGATCAATGGCCTGCATCAGTGCCTGAAGAACTTCAATATCTGATTTCAAAGTTAACGAATGAACTTGTGTTGGTACACGAACCAGGACCATGGATACAATGATAGAAACCAGGAAAGAAGAAAGGAGGGAGTGCATTCGTTTGGCCATTGGGTCAAAGGAAGCTACGTTATCTAAATTTTGAAGGTTTGCTTGGTTATCTCAGACTTGAACGCTTATATTGCCATCCCGATAAAAGATTATTCATGACCATTTCATTGCAAGAACATGGATGGCCATGCCAAGGAAGTGATTTAAAACCTTTTAAAGAATGATTTCAAGGTGGTCAGTACAATTTAAACCATTTCACCTACCTTTCTTTAAAGGAAGAAAGAAAGATCGTGATCCTCAGATTTTGACCTAAATAACAAACAAACAGCATGAAACGTGCTCTATCAAGAAAAAATTCGACTGATCCATTTGAGGTAATTTAGCACAAAAATGTTGTCATTTCATTCATGTGCCATCCATTGAGTTGAACCGAACATTACCTTAATGCTCGATTTTATGCATGCAAGCACAAACAGTGAAGCTTAACAGTGATTATTGCAGCATAAACAATCCGCGAATCCAGGGAAAGAGTAACCGTAGCGAGTAGCGATCAATATGCTTAGAGCTACTAATGTTTAGGCACAAAAGATATACAAGAAATAGTTGAGAATCATAGGAGTTATTACAATCAAGAGCACTGATTGATGCTATTTCACTTTCAAAAGCAAACAAAAATATAGGATAATGTAGAAAATGAATCCCCAATCCTAACTGTAATGCTCTACTCTCTACTCTCTAAATACGTTAAGTTTGATGCATGTGTATGTAAATACATACTATATACATACATTGATGCATACAGGTACTTATGAAAGTATGCGTAGTTCTTCAAAAGTTTAACTCTAAACTGTCGAGTTCAGCACCCCGAGTTCAACCAAGATCAGGAACAGTGAAGTGCTCAAGATCAGGTACAGTGAAGTGCTCATCATCATCGTCTGCAATCTCGATCCTAGGCTTCTTATGGGGCGTGCTGAATTTGGTGGGTCTGTATGAGCTCACATTGGATGGAGCTGAGATTGGCAGTTGAGGTACTTCAGCTGCTGCTAAAGCCTCTCGAGGAAGTTCCTCACCGAAAAGACCCATGTCAGCTAGCCACTCAAACTCTCCTAGCTCAAGTTGCTCTTTCTGCACAGATAAGAAACAAGAAGGTTACAAAAAGACATTGAGATTTGAAAAAAAAAAAAAAAAAAGGCCAATCCAACAGCTTTGACACCAATTTTGTTCATGTAACAAGAAAACGAAAAAAACAATAGTCTACATTTCGCAAAGGCAGGGTTGGGTGCTCAAAAGGGGTCATTTAAATGCAAAACCAGAAATTAACTGCTAGTTTCCATATTTTACAGAGCTACTATAACTTCCTTGTTCTCCGACTTACGGAGAACCAATCGTTTTGGGTTGAGTCAAGGGTCAACTACATTTGGAAGAACTATACACCATTATACAGTCAATCAATAGCCTGAGCTATATCATCCTGGGGCAACCAATTCCCACTTTCTCCTACCTTTCTCATTCTTTGAGAAGACAAATATTGTATGTGAACAAAATTCAAGGGAATGCATTAAGTTATTACCTTGTCTGTGGATGTTTCAAAGTCGGAGAACTGTAGCAACTCATCAACAGCCCATGAGGAGCCAAAGCTCGAGGCAGGCTGCGAAGGCAATTTCAAGGACGTTTGTTGTGCACTCTGATTTGGTGGCTCTGAAGAAGTTTTCGGAGTGTCCTTGGAGCAACTAGAGCTTAAAGCCACTCGAATTCCGGTGGCCAGAAACCGCTGGTGATTCGCAGAAAGGCTACCAGCTGAATGGATTGGCTCATCACAATCCCGGCAAAATAGTGCTCTGTCTTCAACACAGAAAATGAAAGCTGCCTTCTCCTGAAAATCAACAAGAGAGCCAGATGATAAACACTTCACAATCATAAAAACAGAAGTTCGTAGACACACTGAAACTCAACGAAGAGCAATATGCTTGCCATTCGATAAATAAAAATTAAAACCAAGCATTTTAGATATCAAGTAACTTCATCTTCTATTCAAAAAATTTAGAAGGAATGCCTCGAAGATAAACCCTAGGTGACCAGACAATCTAGGCTAAACCCTAGTCAGTCCCTTTCCCATAGACTAAAACTATGAGACTCCTCTCTTCAATAACTTTTTCTCTGTCCTGAATCAGCATAAACTTCTTACACTTCGTTAAACACATAAATCAACAAAGAATTTCTTGATTTGAACAAGGTATTGAAATGGATCAAACATTGAATAAATTTATAGGAAAAGTGCCCTTAACAAGTTACTGCTCAATTAGCTGCCAAGAATCTACATGAAATTGATCCCACAACCATCATTCAACATCTCAGCCTCTATCAGCAATGATTCTCAGGGTTTTCCCCCTTCTTATGTCTTCTTGAAACTCAAGGTGAGTATAAGTAGATAAAAAACACACACTCACACACTCAAATTCCATGCTTTGCAAACACCAAATCATAAACCAGATAGAGAGATAACAAGTGCAAAAGCAAGATCTAACAGAAAATTAGATAAACATATCAACTAAGAATTAGCACCAAAGGTGAGAAGTAAAATTACTTGGCATATATCACATGGAGGCAGCTTGTTGGAGAGGCACTGAAGAAGAAGCCTTTGGTGTTTGCTAGCCAGCTTGTTTGCTGCATGGACTTCTATATCACATTTTTCACAAAGTGCAGCCTCATCAGCACAACAAATCACTGTGGCTGGTGCTTTCTCACACACATCACACTGAATTTTCATCTTCTTGCTTAACACAAATCAAACCCCCTCCTCTCTTTTAGTAGATCCCCTCTCTAGTTTCTTGCAACCTTTTAAGTGGCCTCAAAATATGACAAGGTAGAGTGAATGAGACAGAGAAACATATGTTTCACACTAGCTTAAAACACTGCCTGAAAATGCAGACAATTATTTTTTTTCAAAGAAAGTGCTAGCCAAACCACAAGAGAAGAAAAGAGAAAATAGGAGAGAAGGAGAGAAGGTATAAGAACTAAGATGGGTGCTTAGTGAATTACTGTGCAATGTGAGCAAGAATCTGCTGGAAGATACAGAAAGATGAGTGCTTGGTGGAGAATCCAAGGAGCTGAGTGGTTGCAGATAAGCTTTCGAGATTTTTGTGAATCAAAATCAAGGAATGTGGAAGAGACAGCAATGCATGGTAGGGTAAAAGAAAGCTCCACATGTGTGGCTGTGGTTCTGTCAGCAAACACCAAGTACTTATGGTCTGTAATTATCCTCAGACCTCCTTGAGTGGTGGTAGGGCAAAGCGGGCGACATGCACGCATTTGTCTCCTTGTGTTAAAGCTTAAAATATCCCATTCATAGAGAAAATTATAAATTAATTCAGTCTTTTTGTTTATTAAAAAAATAAATAAATTAATCTCTTTTGTTTTAAAAAATATTTATTTATTTATTTATTTAATATTGATCATTTAATTTAATATTATTTTATTTCAAAAAACATCATTTTTCCTCATCATTCATATTTTTTATTTTTTTATTTCTTTGAAAAAATTAAAATAATTTTTTTAAAAAAATTATTAAGACAGAAGAAAAATTTAAGACTAGAAGGGATAAATAATCATTTTTCAAAATAAAAGAGATTAATTAATTGGTTTATTTTGAAAGACTGATTTATCATTCACTCCCATTAATGCCAACTCCCAACTAATTTGTCGTAGAATTTAGAAATCTCAATTTTAGTCTCTAATCTATTCATAGATTCTCAATTTGATCTTTAAACTAAAAAATATTTCAATTGGGTTTTTAAAGTAATACATGTTTCTCAATATATAATCTTTTATTCATATTCATTAATATCTTTCTGCTATATTATTCATCACTGTTTTTCTTTATGAAATTGTGATGATTTTAGACAAAATAATTTAAGTGAAAAATGTCTAATAAAAAAAAAGCTATGTACTAGTATGCATACACACACATATTTTTCAATTATTAGATGACATCCTTTGACAATGAAATTAAAAATTAAAAAATGAAGAGAATTTGACGTTTTTCTTTATGAAATTATGATGATTTTGACAAAATAATTAAAGTAAAAAATTTCTAATAAAAAAAATATGTACCAGGATGCATGTACACACATATTTATTTTTCAATTATCGAATGATATTCTTTAACAATGAAATTAAAAGTAAAAATTTGTAGAAAATGTGATGTTTTTCTTTATAGAATTGTGAGGATTTTAGACAAAATAACTTGATTAAAAAAAGGTCTAATATAGAAGGAATGAAATTGATAAAACTCATTATTTAAGGATGGAAATTGAAAAAATCTAATACATGGAGGATGAAAATGTGATTTTTCTTAGATTTTATTTAGCTAAAATATCAGTTCTGATCCTGAAATGACTTGGCATTTACGGCATGAATTGAGGCATCTCAGAAAGCAGATGCAATACCGGTGGAGCGTGTTTTACACACACCTCCTGCGCACGTAAAGTAGGCATTCCGTCCAGCAGGGAGTTGGCATTAACGTGGAGTAAATTATAAATCACTCCTTTTAATTTTTGAAAATGAGCCCAATCGAATAATTTTTTCCGTTTTAAAAACTAATTAGTTATTTTTATTTTTAAATTTATTTATAATATAATATAATTTTAATTTTTTAATAAATAAATAAGCATCAATAAGACTTTCTAAAGACTGAGCACTTACAATTTATTATTTACACCGAATAGACAATGAGTAACTAGTGTAGAATAAAAATTAATTAATGAGAAAAATTATATTTTTAAAATAAAATAATATTAAATTAATTATAATCAATACTGATTAAGAAATTAATAATTATTTAAAAAAATTAGTAATTCATTTTAAAAAACTAGATGGATTAATTTATAATTTACTTTTGAGCCTTGTGGTTGATCTATTCATCGATGACTTGTTAAATACAAGCCTTAATAATTCTATTCTTCAGTCCAAGTAAGGGAAGGGGAGAACAAAAAAGCCTTATTAATTAACACCTTGAAAAGCCTAGTTAAATTGGCCCTTTTCTGTTTCTTTTTTCACCTTACCCCCTTCTTTTTCTATTATTAAATCTCAAAAACCTAGAAAAGAGGATAATAAGAAAAATATTGAAGAAGGAAAATAAAGTTAGAATTGGACCCAAAAAAACAAAAGAGTTAATGTTAGCATGATATTGTAAAGGAGTAATATACTTTTTATGGTACTTGTATTTTTTAGATTATTTTGATTGAAATTTTTTATTTTTTATTTTTTGTATTAAATGAGAAATTCTATTCTTAATTTTCTTTTTTCACCCTTCTTTTATTATAATGCCATTAATTTGTGAGCTAACATGACACAATATACTTTTATACACATAATAATATGTGTTATATATGTCGAAGTACAATAGAAGAACTCAATCAAAAAGAAAAAAAGAAAAAAGAAAAACTCTCAATAAAAAATATTCAAAAAATACATTGATCATATGTAGGCAATATCCACTATACGTGTCTATAATACTAAAAACTTGCAAACTGACTGTAGTTCAACTAATATTAATTAGATTTTTTCCTTTTTTAAGAAGTGTAAAAAAATTTTCTATTGTAGCATAGAGTTAAGGAAAGCATGGATATTTCTATTACTATTTTTTTTTTTTTGATATTATAGGAAGTAGAGTATTCCCGTATCGACTTTTGCATTAATCAAAATTAAATTCATCATTTTTCGAGTTAAATCAAAGTTAGAATATGCTTAATTTTTTATTGATCATTAGACTGTTTTTTAGATCATATTAACCTAATTTTAGTACAACTAAAAAAAAAAGTATAGCTAGTTATGTGTAAATAATGAGAATTGAATTTTATCTTGATTATATCAAAATAATTTTTTTATTGTTAGACCAGATCCATTAATGGTTATTTCTACTTGTCACTAATTAGGAAATTATTGGGAAAAAAAACGTCTCAATTTACCAATTTCATCAAGTATGGTGTTTAGTGGGCACTTAATTTTGCACCTGCCAATATCTAGAACCGTAACGATCACTATACAGATCTTTCTCTTTTCCTATGGTCATGGTGGGGACAATTTGTGGAACAGGTGAGCAGAGTATCAGAGTTGGCACAGTCCAAACCTAACTTGGAAAATTGCTTCCGGGACGGAAACTTGATTACTGTCCAAACATAACTTGATGAATACTGCTTTAAATCAAAAAGCTTAAAATACGTTATATGATGCTCAAGTTTTCGAGTATCTAACTAATTTATTAGACCTAAAAGTCAGCCTTGAAGGGTTGGAGAAATGGAGATGGTGTCCTCCCAAGTTCTGCGGACATGAAAACTCGAATGTCAAATGTTAGTAGTGCATGGATTTAAACTGCTTGTCGTCCATCTTCTTTAATGAGTTGTCTGAAAGGACGAAGGCTTTACAAGTATAACCCATTGTATAGAATCGTTATGGCCATCTTCTTCAGAGACTGGCCTGCGATCCTTGGTGTGTGAACCGATCAGAAAATAAAAGAAAATTACTGAGAGAGGGAGAAACATCTTTTGTTTACACAGTATGTGGAAGAAAATTGCTAGAAAGGAAGAAATTGCCATTGATCGGAGAAATTTTATAATAAACAAGGAGTAATTAATGGCATGTACAGTAGTAATTCTTTAGACCCATTTTGAAGAGAAAGATAGACACACAAAAAGAGAGAAAAAAAATAAAAGAGAGAAAATAAAAAAATTTGAGCGGATATGAAAATCTTCTTATCACTTTTGATGGGTATGTATGTAATTTCATTTTTTTATGTGTCTATCTCTTTCCTTAAAATAGATACAAGAAGTAATTATTATACATGCCACTAGTTACTCTTTGTATATTATAAAATTTTTCAACAAATTATAGTAAAATATTTAAAAAGTCCAGTACAGTCTTAAATTTTGTGTATTTAAAAGCCGAAATTCTTATAACGTCCATTTCTTGTTAGGCTTAATAAGACCTTCTTTTCTATAATTCATGGCAGACAAAACCTTCAAGTTAACTTTATATGCTCTTCTCATCCTCCTCCACCTCCTCTTCTACTCCGACATGGCAGCAGCAACATCAAGGCCACTAGATGTTCACTCACCAGCTATCCCTAGTTAAAGACCTTTAAGAAACATGAAACCTCTTTCTAATAATCAGGATCATAATCGCTATCCTATAAATGGTTATAGAGTGAATACTCATATAGGAGCGTGGAGGCCGACAATTCCTGGACTCCATGGTTTTGCTCATCCAGATCCACTAGAAGCTCCTTCATCAAAGTCGTGAGCACCCCATCGCTACAACATGCAAAGACATAGGAGTCTGAAGATGGATTGATGCTATGCCTGAAAATAGTAAGAATCAATAAGGATCAGATGGTTGTTACCAATTCTGGAAGGGGTTGCTAGATTTTCAAGTACAACCTGCAGCTTGATTGGATCTTTAATAATTTAAGGAAGTTAATTATCATTGATGGAATGATATACAGAAGAACAGTGAGATCTACACCTCTATTTTTCATGATTAAAAATATAGAACAAGCGCGCGCGAGCGCATATATATATATATATATATATATATATATATATAAACATTAGCCATATTCATAAAAAAGAAGAAGAAGAAGACGAAGACGAAGAAGAAGAAGAAGAATTGGCCATCCGATTTGTTTAGTTGCATGCAAACCTTCATCAGACTGCTATGTACACTCCAAAAATTGATTCAATGCATACTTATTCCTACCTAAAAGATCATTCTTGTTCAATCACCGAAGAGAGAATATCAATTCAGTTATTAAGAAGCTATCCTATTGTTACCGGTTAAAATTTTCTTTTCCTGGAGGAGTCGAATGCAATATTTAGGTATAAATCCATGAAGAAGTGATAACTTCCTCACAATTAAAACCGGATGAAATCAACCAATATATAGTCAAAATAAAGATAGCTAGGATCTAAAAAGATCAAATAAGAGTTTAGGATTTTAAGAAAAGCCAAGACATTTAAATCAAATAAAAGAGTTAAGATTTAACAAAGAAAAAGTTAATAAACTAGGAAGGTTTTTTGGTAGGAAAAAGCTAAGAAAATGAGTAGTTACGTAAATTGAGAAACCAAAGAGTTTATAATTTAATGATAGTAATCTCTTATAATAAGAGGTCACGAATTTAAATATTAATAGAGTAGTTCAAATAAAAACTTTGGATATTTGAGTTAAAAAAAAAAATAGATTGAGAAAAGTGGTAAAGAAAAATGTAGAGAAAAGCAATAAGTAATTGCAACATAATTGAAAAAATCACTCTCAATATTGAACTTAATAGCCAAGTAAACTTGAATAGTTTTTTTATGAGTGTATAAATAGTATAGTGCATAGTAAATAGTCTAAATTTTTTAGTATTTTTTTTAATCTTTTAGTGTTTTTCTATATATATATGTGTGTGTGTGTGTGTGTGTAATTATTAAAAAATAATAGAAATCATAAATCATATTCTGAATTCTCACTTAATAATTTAATTTTTTTAGTTGAAATGATTATTTGATATGGTATTATAATCTTTCTAATTTACATATCTAAGAATTTAAATTTTATCTTTTTTTTTTTTACAATTAAAAATGTAACAGTATAAGATAATTACAATATATATATATATATATATATATTTTCGTTTAAGCTCACTCGAAAGCAAGAAAAGACATAAAGAAAACGATTTATTCATGAAGGGAATATGCCAGCTTAGCAAATCTAACAAAATGTCAAAATGGACCCTAAAAGCACCTTGGTATTAGGGTGGAGAGATGAGTGCAGTTGCGAAAGGGCGTGGAGTGCAGATAGCCTCCAAAGGCTTAGCCTTTTGTACAGTGATGAGAGCATTTACTATACTCATATCTATGAGTTCCTCTCCAACTCTCTTCCATTCAAAGCACTGAATAAGTACAGCCAATTCCAACATGACTCTGCGCATGGCCATGTAATTTCCAGGGCAAGCTCTTCTCCCAATACCAAATGGGATAAATCCTGGTTTTTCTCCTTCATTATTAATACCTTCAAATCGCTCTGGCTTGAAGCTATCAGGATCTTCCCATAACTTGGGATCCCTATGGATGGCCCATGCATTCACTCTCACAATCGACCCTCGCGGTATCTTGTATCCACCTATAATGCAATCTTCAGATGGAGCATGAGGCACCAAAAGTGGGGCTGGAGGAAACAACCGAAGGGTCTCGTTAACGATACAGCGGAGAAAGTTTAGCTTGGGAAAATCGCTCACCTCTACCAAGCGCTCATGTCCGACTTCTCTATCAATCTCTTCTTTCACCTTCTGTAATTTCTTTGGATCATTCAGCAGATGTGTCATTGCCCATTCTGCGGTGAAATCTACTGTATCCACCCCTGCCAAATAGACTGTCTGTAGAACATAAAACATTCCTCAACGTTACAACATCATATCAAATAATTATCTCAATCTAAAAATTCAAATTATTGAATAAAAATCTAAAAATAATTTTATATTTCTCTCTGTCAAATCATGTAACAGAAAGGACAAATGGAGACAAAGAAGGAATGGCTTCCGGCACAACAGAGTAGAGTTATAGTTTATCTACAACTCTTAGTCTTGGGTCGTTATGCAATCTAGTTGCACTTAAGATTATCTAGCCTAACTAAATGTATATTTAATGCATGTAAGTGAAGAAAAATTTTATAATACTCAAATAATAATGAATAATATGAACAATAGTTACTCTATAAATCCATTTTGAGAAGAAAGAGATAGACACTGAAGCTTATCGCTGTATTCTGAACCCTGTAACCTAATGAAGTGGGTAGCTACGTTGGCAATGCAAACTGAACTGGTAGGAATGGGAAGTCCCACAATTTTCATTTTTGAAAACAAATTGAAACTAGGGTTGTAAAGAAATCTGTGAGGTCAAAACGGGGAAAAAAGTATATGGATATGAGTTACTTACCATTAAGGTACCCTTGATAGCATCATCTGAATACATTTCAGGGTCTGATTTTTGGAGGGACAATAGACTTCCAATCACAGTTGTCTGATCTTTCCCCCTTCAGCAGTACTACTTGAAACCGAACCAGTTTTCTTTCGTCTTGCCTCTTCTATCAAGCCCTCAAAGAATTTATCCCTCTCTTCAGCAATCTTAATGAAACGCTTCTCTTCCCCCTTGAAACGTCCAAACCATTTCAAATATGGAAAATAATCCAACCAACTTGTCGTTGTATTTGAAGGGAACATATTTTGGATATCCTCAAGACACTGCTTCCCTGTATTAATACAGGCAGCCTTCTCCTCTTCAATCCACTTCTTTCCAGCATTCACCTTCATAATCACATTGACAGAGGTAATTGTGAAGAAATAATTCAAGTTCACCTTTTTGTCTCTACCATCTGAGACGTTAGACAGAATTAGGCGGAGAAGGGTGCGAACTTCTTCAGTAATGGCAGTAGACCTATCAAGGCAACTTCGAGAGAACAGTTCGGTAACCGCAAAGCGCCTGAGGACACGCCAGACATTGCCATACGGAGCAAATAAAAAGGCTTTATAGTTGTAGCTATAAAGATGGGCAAATATGGTGTGAGGCCTGTTAGCAAACACTACATCGTTCTTCAAGAAACATTCTTCAGCAGCTGATAAAGAACAAATAGAAAAAAGATACCTGCTGCCTAATTTGAGAGTAACAATCGGACCATACTTCTTCGAAAGACTTGCTAGTGCTTTATGGAGTGGTGGCTTCGAAAGAAGATGGAGATGGCCTATGATTGGAAGAGAGAAAGGACTTGGCGGTAAATTGTTACGTTGGAATACAAGTTTGATTACCAGAAAGATCCAGAGGAAAAAAGCAAGGTAGTAGTACATGTCGTCCATTGTGAAGTAAAGACTATATTCAATGATGGTGAGTACGCATGGAGGAGAGATCGGAAAGGGTTTTAATAGATGAAATGGAGACACGTGGCAGCCACATTAAATTGAAGTTATTACGTTTTAATCGGATCCCAAAGCTTAATAAATGAGTTCCAAAGATATGATTATATATCAATATGTGTATCCATTTAGATTTTTTAGTAAAACAAAGTTGTAATCCTTATGACTTCAAATTTCTTTGGTAGCTATACGATGGAGGAAGGCTAGCTCATTGTGTACTCCAAAACCTCATATGTTTCCGACGAATAAGAAAAAAAAAAAAAAATCACATCTTTGGTCTTTTGTTAAAAATTTTTAATTTTTAGATTAAGATAAGTTTTTTACATGTTAGTATAACAATGTGTAAATCAACTAATTGTTCTTTATACCTTTATATTAGTAAAATTTCTTTGATATATATGTATAAATATGGTAATTATTTAAGTTACTTAAATTTAGATAATATTACATAGTCTATTTTATTGTTAATATCACCAGCCAGTACTATTTTGACTGTCATAATAATTATAATTATTTTTTTTCATAATTTATAGCCAAGCAATTAATTCATCCCATCTAAAGAGACTCTCCTTAGCTAATAGATTTGCTGCACTATTACCTTGGCTCTAAAGATAAAAAATTCTTTCATTAATAAATTAAAACTCGCGCTTCTGATTAAAATTTGGGACGGTTTTGTAAACCAACTCTTATTTATTTTATAAAAGTACCTACTAAAATATTTATAAACCGTCTCAAGAATTCTGCCTCTGTACGTAATTTTTGTTGTAGTGATGCTTATAACTAACAGACTTGATCTGCAAACGCCATGGCCTATCTACTAACTTCTTCTGCAACCAGAAGATAGCATATGTTGAATCTGATTCAAATACCTTATCCACTTGATTTGCTGAAGTATAAGAGATACTAATATCCAATCATCTATAGTAATTACTTGCATAAAATTACTATCAATATATTTACTTCAAGTTAATTTTCTTGATACAAGAAGGGATTATTTTGAATTTTTTTTTAATTTACAATAATGATATATAGGTGAACATCATTGTTGTGCGTGATAAAATTTCATTACCGGACATGGTTAAAATTGATAACAGCATCCTATTGTCTTCCAGAAGCAGCGCTTTATTACCTTTTTTCCCCCAAAAAAGCGAGTTTGATATACATTAAGTGACAAAACATGTAAGTTTACATCATGAATCAAAGACAATGGTATTATTAAGTTTATAATTTTCAGGTTTTCGTTTATATTCCAGTATGTTGTTCTTAATATTTTGATTGTTTAATTTTGAAATTTTTGATTTAATCTTATTATTTTGATTGCAAATTAAAGTAGAGAGTTTTTTTTTAATTAATTTTTTTTCCTTTGAATCATCTTTAATTTTAAATTATTGTTTCAGTAATTCTACAACCGAATCAGCTTGGAGGTCATAGTTCTCTATGGTGGATTTTCAAGCTTATTCGAGGCCATTAAATTCATTTTCATCCTCTTTTATTTCACATGTTTCTGAATTGCCCGTGTTTTAATTTGTCACGTTGTGTTGAAATGATTATCAACCACAAATAGCTAGCTGGTGCTCAATCCCACCTAATTTATTTTTTCCAGCCCTAAATGATAATAAACGCATCAACTGTGCAATACATATATATTATGAATAAGTTTTGAAAAAAAAGTTAATTAGTCCTTCTTATTTTAAAAATTAATTATTTTATTTTATTTTCTTTTATAATTTATTAAAAACTTAAAAAGAAAGATATTACGGAAAGGTCGATGAGAAAAGAAGACTTTTCTTAGAATAAATTAATATTAAATTAAACATGTCAACATTAGTCATCAATATATTAAATAATTAGTTTTTAAAATAAAAAAGATTAATTTATTTATTTATCAAGACTAAAATGAGTAAATAAATGAAAATGTTCTAACTTCCCTTAAATGAGATATTACTTAAATAAAAAAATAATTTTTTAATATTATTGCTTTTAATATTAAAAATAAACTATAAAAATATAGAATCTTTAAATTTTAAAAGAGACTCTAAATATCTATTGATTTCAAATAATTCAAAAGGTACATCTTTAATGAAGTTCGTGTAATTTAGTTGATATATTTAATTTTTAAAACTTATTGAGGTGTTGATTTTAACGGCAAAAAAGTTATTTTTTTCTTTTAATATACACATAACATAATCATATTAATCGCTTTTTGATGAAAAAGGAAGATATATTATTAACGAAAAGAGATCTTCACCAACAAAGAGCTAGCACAAGTTGAAAGAAAACCAAGCAAGATACAGCACAAAATTACAGAGAACCAATTAATTCTTCGGATCTAAGGTTATTATATTGAATCTTCTTTTATTTCGAGTTATTATTCTTGGAATCCTACAACCTAATTCGTTTGGGGGGTCACGGTTCACTACAAAAGTTTCCTAACTTATTGCAGCTCCGTAAGTTTATTTTAATTTAATTTTTTTGACAACATAAAACATTAAAAATATAATTAGGATTGATTGTAGTTTACATTTAAGAGTTAATTTGGTTCATCTCCTTACAGAATTAAGAGATTAATTGTCAAATGCGAAAAACATCCCTATCATCATGTTTTTTTTTTTGTTACAAAATCCTCTTAATTGAAGCCGGTAAAAAAACCCGCAACACAATCCAAATAAAAATTTAATTAAGAAGAACATGCTATTGTATTCTAGATAAAAAGTAAAGCAACAATTTTATTAATTACTTTTGGATTTACCCCCTTTCTTTGTACAATTTCAATTTGTTTTTTATTGAGACTCTTTATTATTTTTGACTTTGATCGAAACCCTTTACTCTTATAAATTTATTGATTAAGACTCTTCATTATAACGTCGTTAACTATTCATTCTACGTGGTAAATTAAAATTAACGGTAGCCAATCAAACAACAAGATATGGCAATGTGGGTCCTAATCTTAAAACTAAGCAACTATCTAGATGAGTTAATAAAATGATTGTAATCTCCACAAAGCTGGAGCAAGAGTGGCTTTGAAAATCACAAACCCTAACCGAATCATTTCTACGGAGGAACAAGGATATTAGTTAGGTAGAGAACAAAGGAGAAGGTCGAGATAGAAGCGAAAAGATAAAAAATATGGAAGCATGGAAGGTAGGGGTGTTCGTTCGGATATTCGGTTCGGTTTGGAACTTTTTTGACCGATTTTCGATTAACCGAATTGTCTAAAAAATTAACCGAAACCGAAGCGAATTATTATTCGGTTTTCGATTTGGTTTTGAAATATATCGACTTTTTTATTCGGTAATTCGGTTTTCACTCGTAATTATCTATATTTTTTATTTTTGAAAGGATCATGTACTTTCGAAAAAATAAATTTAGTATTTGCATTGCGATTTTAGGCTATGTTCCTATATGTATACATTTTTCAATCTCATTGAACTCTGTCTATTTACTATTATATTACTACTCCTCAATAGCCATTACTAATATAATATCAATTGATATATATATATATATATATAATACGAAATGTCATCATTACCATATAAAGTCTAATAATTTATAATATATGTTGTTGTCTATTAGTATCGGTAGATAATACCGCTAAATATGTGTTACAATTAAGATATTTTAATAATTCCTTATAAAAAGAAACGAGCATGCTTTGAAGCTCAAATATAACCGACTTATTTGTCTTTATGAAAGACACTTTTAATTAACTTGATGTAATTAAAACTAATAATTTTGGATAACTTGTTAAACACTACGGCCATAAGCTAACATTTGCTAATTAAATGACAATGTTGTTTTTGAACAATGAAAAACATTAAAACTTTAAACACACAACTTTCTTTAGAGCAATTTTAAATTATATGTGTTTACTAAAAAGAGACATACTAATTATTATTAGGGTCCATAAATTAACTAGTTTTCTTTTATATAGAAAAAAAAAACATTATCTCACATCTTTTCTTTTAAACTATAAATTGAATCAAAAAAGAAATTATGTGCCTCCTTGGGCAATTATAAACAAGAATTGGTTATGGTCATTTGGCGTTGGGCCAGTTGGCTCATGTAATCAATGCAATAAGAATTGGTTATGGGCTAATTGATTTAACTCTAATTAGCTTAGGTTTGCGTGAGGGAGAGGTGAGGGTGTTAGGACTGGAATGAACGACGTCGTTCATCGATGAATTTTTTTTAAAAAATTAATAATTTTGGTTATTCGGTTTTAATCGAATTAAAAAAAACCGAAATCAAAACCGAAAACCGACTATATTTCGGTTCGGTATTTTTTTTTAGTTTCTAAAAAAAAACCACACCAAAATTAATATTTCAGTGCAATTCGGTTCGATTATTCGGTTTTCAACGAATAGTGAACACCTCTAATGGAAGAGGAGGAACGATCGAAAATAAATTCCGCATGTCACTAGGTTTACCCAGTGATAATGATGGTGAACTGTGAAGATAATACAGGAGTGAAGAATCTGTGCATCATATCGGTGAAAAGAATCAAAGGATGCCTTAACCATTTGCCATCAGCTTAGGTTGGAGACATGGTGATGGCTACAATGAAGAAAGGAAAGCCTGATCTGAGGAAACAAAGAGATGCATGCCGTTATTATTGGGTAGCATAAACTTTGGCATAGAAAGGCTGATGTTTTCATGCATTTTGAAGATAATGCTGGTGTCATTGTCAACCCAAGGGAGAAATGAAAGGATATAGCGACACTGGACCCATAGGAAAGGCATGTGCTGATTTATGGTCGAGAATTGCCAGTGCTACATTTTGAAGATAATGCTGGTGTCATTGTCAACCCTAAAAATCTTAAATTTCTTGATCTTGTGATCAAATCCAAGTCCACTTAATCTTTTGCAAAAGATCCTTCTCTTTTCATATACTGTAAAACTAGTGTACCACTTGCAATAGAATTTATTACGTGCTGAAGAGCATTATTTTGGCGAAGACAAAGCAACCCATTGCAAGAATTAAGAAAAGCAAGTGATTGGGCCTGCAGTTAAGCGTCGCTGCAAAATTAAAATATCGGGTTTCTCCTAGAAATTCAAGCCAATAAAGGTCGTCCTTTTGCATGCAAAAATGCAAGGATCTGACTGACAAAGCCAGAGTGTGAGAGAAGGGAAGGGAAGGGAAGGGAAGGGAAAGACGGTCCACATTGTTACGTGTCATTGTCTGATTGGTTATTATTAATTTTAACTTATCACGTAAGATGAATAATTAACGGCGTTATAACAAATGGTCTCAATCAATAAATTTATAGGAGTAAAAGATTTCAATCAAATTGAAAAATAATAAAAGGTTTTAGTAAAAAAAATTGAAACTGTATGAGAACTAATTATGGGGTAAACCTAATTACTTTTGTTACTATAAGAATGATTTTCATATGCGTTAAAAGAGAAAATAAGTAAGTTCATATGTAAATCACATGGATAACTCCTTAATTTATTCCATGGATTTTTTAAGTATAATAATACACGATATCTTTTGGGTTTCAATTTTTAAGAATATATATACATAGTCCTTGGATAATTGATATTTGGATGTTAAGACATCATTGGTTTCTCCATCAAAAGTCAAAGCAAATTTATATATGATTGATTTTGATGTCGAAGGAAAAGTAAAAACACGTCTCAATTTCAATTGGTTCTAATTCAGAAAAAAAAATGATTAAAAACTAAAAATACAATTTGCCAATTTATTTTTTCATATAATTTTTTTTTAATTTTCTATCACCAACTAATTAGCTAAAATTGTGCTGATCATGTGGATTTCGTAAACAAAAAGAAAATAACGTTATCAAGAGGAAAAATCAGCAATTACTTCCATTTTTTTCTTTTCTTAGATGGTCAATGTTTCTGGGTTGGACTCACGGATATACAGTGACGATTGGGTTGGAGTGGTGGATCGATTGATTATTTATCAAAGTTTGTTGGGTTGTACCCATAGTGGATGATAGGTTTGGTAATAAATATCAGTAGCGTTGTACAGCGTAGTTTCGTGAAAAAGGTCTCTGCATGACTGCATTCATCAGTTTTTTTTTTTTTGCTATTGAGAACAAAAGATTCC